GACTCCACCCAGTTCACTCTGCAACAAGAAGGAAAAGACAGGTAACAGAGGATGACTGGCATCAAGCAGCGGTCGCGGCCGAGAGCAGCAACCAAATCCAAAAGTTGCCGAGCGGTTGTTGAAAGATTATTGTAAGAACAGACTTCTCCTTGACCGACCCTAGCACCGCCCCCTCTAACTGCAGCGCTGCAGGTAGCTAACGTTCGTTTATCGGTAGAAGTTGATTTGAGGGTGTATCGCCCAGCCCTACCTCTGAGTGACGTGCACCTCCATCCCCACACTACTCCCGCACAGCTGCAGCAGTTTCTGCTTTATAAATCACACCTGTCCTAGAAAACAGCTCAGGTGCCATAGCAGGCATTTTAGCAGTAGAGATTAAACGTTATTAGCATTTCCAGTAGCTGCTACTGAACATTACATTTCACTGATCATAGTTTATTATGGATATATTTAGGTGATAGAGTGTTTTGTAAGTGGTCACAATAAACTGTCAACAAAGTGTAATGTTCCATAAAAATATGAATCATTAATATTGTTGAACCTTTAAAACCTGATTGACTGGAAGAGGTGCTCTGGGTGGCCGGGAACCAACATTCACCAGTGATGTGATACAAAGCAAAAATAGCATTTCTACAACTAATGAGTGACTAATGAGTGACTGTACCCAACAACGGAAGGTAATTGATTATGCGAGGTAGAATCAGCCGAGACAATAACCAAACTAATAAAACGTGATCTTATCAAGAGTCTAATTAGGTGTCTTAGATGTGAAGTCTGGGATTACAATAATAATCTGGCAGAATTCAGTGATGTTGGATTCGTCACCACCACCAGTGAGCAGGATCTACACACCGGTGGTGAGAGCTCCTGCTGCCAGGCAAAGGCGCCTCAATCAGGCCGACGAGTGAAACCGACTTCAAAGGTCGTAGGCCGCTTGAACCCACCCAGCTGGTCTGGGATACGCTGATTCACGCTCTCTCTCTCACACACACACACACACACACACACACACACACACACACACACACACACACACACACACACACACACACACACACACACACACACACACACACACACACACACACACACACACACACACACACACACACACACACACACACACACAATGTAGCCACAGAAACACTACTTCCTCTCCACTGTCGCTGCATGCTTGCTTAGTATGAGGATTGCTGCAAAGACTCTGACACGAGTCAGTGACTCGATGCACCCTGCTGGGTTCCTTATATAGAAACTTGTTACTGATTGGCTTAATGACCCGACCTGTGTTGGGATGTGTACTGTGAGCAGGTCCTTGAGACGACTCTGGTCCTGACTTGGAGCTTTAGAGATAAACTTGAATTGAGTTAAAAGATGGAGAAAGGGCTCATGATCACAGAGTCACCTGTGTGTAACGCACATCATACAGGACAGGACCCTTATATTCCAGGTAAACGTTGCAGCCCGCTGCCTTTGAGACGTAAATCTGATGGATTCTGGCTGCCTAAGCCACGCCCAGTTCAGACGCCACCGGGCGAATCAGGATTCAGGCTGAGCCTAAATAACATTTCAGAGAACGACCCAGACATTCGTAGAGCTAATCTGAGTTGGAAGAGAAAGTTTTTCTTTTTGATTTTACTGCCAGCATGCTCTTGAGCAACCCTTTACAGGAAGGCCCGGTAAGCCCTTAAGCTCATTTTCCACAGGCTGGCAGCTCCAGTCCAGATCCACGTTCTGGTGCTTTTACAGCTGAATCAGCTCCATGCTCCCACAGCTCCCACAGCTCCCACAGCTCCCACAGCTCCCGGCTCCAAGGACAACCAGGGAGGCCAACTCCATCAGCTCCAGGACATTAAACTAGATGTTTGCCTACAACTGTCCCACTTTATGACCTCTGGGCGACTGCAGCAACCTTCTCTCCTCAGCCGGTGTAAGCTAGAGCAAGCCTACAGCACAGAGAGCATCGGCGGGGCTTTGTGACAAATATAGGTTATCTACTGGCAGGCTGCCTGGCCTGATAGCATCATGCATGGTTCAGCTGGCCTCAGCGGGCCAGATGATTAGAAGCCCAGAGCTGTTTCTGATGGCATCTGATGCGTTTCCAGGTTAAACGGATGCCACAGAGAACCAAACATGGCTGCCAGGTCTGTGGGCAACGTGTCTGGACTACATGTGGATGAATCTTTGGGTCGCCCTGCTCTGCCCTGCAGTCGCTCACAGGCAGACATGTTGGTCCTCTGACTGGAACGCCGCTGTGCATGTGCACACAAGCAGGCACTACACCCACTCCGCTTCCTCTCCTCTCACACATAAAGGCTCGTAACTCGCCCAGAGCCAAACAGCCTGTTCCCAGAGTTCAGAACAAACACACATACATTATGTTTTATCACACGCAGCACTCGCCAGCGACGGCACGTTAAAAGCAAAGTTGTGCTTTCATCATAAACACAAATCAGAATCTCCTAGAGACGGAGAATTTTATCTTTATGTTTATTTATTTAGCAGACGCGTTTATCCACAGCGACTCACAGTTTATAACCTTTAGGGCGTGTTGTATCTGTGGGGGAAACCGGAGGAAACCCACGCATGCATGGGGAGAACACGCAACTCCACGCAGAAAAGCCACAGCCGAGCCGAGTTTCGAACCTGCAACCTTCGTGCTGCGAGGCAACAGTGCTAACCACTGCGCCACCATGCAGCCCAACAGCTGAAATTAACTCTTTTTAGAGTCTCTGGATGTTTAAAACTGAATGAAAACAACATTTCAGGCCTCATCACAAATCTCTATTGATGAAGATTTCTGCGGTTGGAGTCCTCGGACTCAGAAAGGCTTCGTACGGTGAAGGTGATGGACCGCTCATCTGAGAACTGCCAGAGATGAAGATACGAGTCTGAAACCACAGAGACGAGTTCGTTCGTCCCAGCTGACAAAAGCAGCAAGAGAAAGCACCAGAAGTCACAGGAGATGAAACCGTAGGAGAAGGAAATGTAATAAAAGCTTTAGAGGGAACCAACTCAGGACTACTCCAGTCTTCAAGACCTGAGAAGGTGATGCCACGAGTAGAGAGATGTTTCAGAAACCTCAATGCTGCAAGGAATGTCTGCAGTTATTCTCCATTTAGCTGAATTATTGGAAACATTTGAATATTTTTATAGAGTAAAGAAAAGAATGAGTTAAATTTGCTTTAACAGTAATGACCATATCCCAGTAAGGGAAGGTCGTTTCCCACACCAGGGAATGGAAGTTAACCGCTCACTGGGTTGACTAAGATCTAGAAAATGTTTCAGCCAACAACATTCAGCTGTTGGATGCGAAGCACAAAACCTCGTCCTGCTGAAACAGAGTACCTGGAGAGGAGCGTTACTGAGCCGGCAGCTGTCCAACACCTGGGAGCCACAGGTAATGTACAGAACAGGAGCTTCTAATAAGGATCAAAGTCACTCAACGGGAGGAAGAGGACGAGAACAGAGAGGTCACAAGAGTTGTGACTGAATAAATAACCCAGTAGTGAAAAGTGTGTGTGTGATGGTGACGTCTGAACAAAGATCAAAGAACAGAGCCTCTAGTACACACTTGCTTTCCGTCACACACACAACCAGCCAGAGCTGCACCAACATGTCTAAACACGACGACAAGCACGCACAATCAACTCCAGCCATGGCTCGTCACTTACATTTACTTACACGTGCGGCACCGGCTTGTGCCAAACCGCTGTTACAGAACACGTTAGCGTGCACTGAAGAGTTCCCGTTGGACTACCGCACGTTGTTTTACGACCGACTTTCAGTCGTTCCCCCTGAAGCCAAATGAAGGAAGAGCACAAGACCGTTTCTGTGAAAGATGCAGACATGACAGAGGCTGGGCCGGGTGAGAGGAAGAAGTGGGTGTTATGGAGGAACCCCGGTTGCCATGGCGACATTACTAACAAGTCTCTTCTGCTTGACTGAGGAAACCTCCCATTCTTAGGTCCAGCTTACAGCTGAGGCCTTTATTTCCTGGACCACCAACATAAATGTTCTGCAGAAGAAACGTCGCTGTAGTGAAAGCATCAAAAGAACGCACAAGTTTCATTTCACTTCATCGGTTAGATTCACAAACCAGAAGCTCCAAATCAGGAGACGCCTTGATAAACATGGAGGTGGCCAACGCCAGCAGCGGGAGACCCCCTGGACATCACAAAGACACAACCACTCACACCTACAGGGACAATCACGTGTTTATGGAGAAAACACACCAATGCACGAGAACATGCCACCTCCACAAAGGCCACAGCCGGGATTCAAACCCACAACCATTTTGCTGCAAGGAAACAGAGCTACTAACAACACCGGCTTTAAACCACTTCCTGCAACAGCCTGGAGTTAACTGAATCTTTACATTTGAGTGTGTGCAAATACAAACTGGTCAAACCAACCACAACATCTCTGTGATAACACGGCTCCCATGTTCTGCCTCATCTGAAACATCCCTGGGTCTTCTAAAGGGTTAGCCGAGGTCAAACGCCACGAGTCAGGACCACGTGATGGTGGATCCGTCCTGGGTGGTTCTGTTCAACGATCTGTGGTTAAAAACGTTTTATTTGGGTCTCCAAAATGTCACCGCAGTAAAAAAAGTCAATGTCAACAGAAAGGAAAATCAAAACACCCAAATGTGATGGTGTTCTCTTATATAACCTCATTAAACCAGAGGAAGTGGGCCAGTGGCTGGCTGGTGAAGTCCGAACAGAGCTCCGGCTGTACAGCTCAGTGAGCAGCTAAGTGCCCTGGAGATGAAGGTAGAATGGCTTTCTGTAAATGCACATGAGAACAACACATGGTGAGAAGTGACTGTAATCTGTTAACACGCAACAGCTGTCCAGCTGCACAGCCAGCCTGCAGCAGGACCAACCTGGCGAGGCTGACACAGCAGACTGTACAGGACTGAGCAGCTGCTTCAGGCTCGGAGACACCAGGGAGGATGGAGATGGGGTGTGGGTGTGCACAGGCCTGGGGGGGGGGGCCTTGCATTAGATGGATTAATTATTGATCAGCTGGGGTGAAAATGTCTGGCAGTGTTTTTGCAACACGGGCCTCTTGATTCCTCTACTTCCCATTTCAACTCCCTCCCACCGGTACCAGAACCGAGGCTGTACCGTCCCGAACGAGCCAGGGGGAGATTATGGCGTCTGTCGCCGTGTTGCTCTTTGACTGATCTCAGGGCCTGATGACGTTAGCAGCAGCTTCCTGGAGAGCATCAGAGGCTAATGGCTACCCGAACCTGCAGCTGGAGGTGATGGACCTCTTGTGTGTTTTCATGGTACTTACATGGTCCGGCTTCCGCTCGTTCCCAGGCAGTGGCGTGCGTACAGACATGTTTGTCCCCGAGTGCGCGTCGCCGTCCAGGCAGATGAACAGCAGTCAGCTGATGGGTTTGTTCGGAACCGAATAAAAAACACGATCGATCAGAAGCTCGGACACGCCCGGGCTCAGTGAGAGGGGCGCCGCAGCTCCGCGCCTCTGCCAATCCTCATTGTCCCGGTCCGTGAGAACAGAACAGCACGAAGACCCAGCTCAGAAAAGTGACCCAAACACAACCCGGTTCGCTACGAGCATCTCATTTTGATCCAACCTGGCTTCCGTGGAACAAAACCCCGAAGCCCTTAGCCTTCCACCCTCCTCCAGATGCTACCGTATCATTTCGGATCGTTGAAAAATGCTGATGATCAACGGTTTACTTCCAGCCGCGTCATGTTCAGGTGTGAGGACGGCCAGGTAAACGCTCCGTGGATGAAAGAGGAAGCTGCGGGCTCTGCCGGAGACCACCGCGGGCTGAGCTCACAGGCGAGGGGAGTTTCTGATTTCCGGTTAGCTAGCTAATGTGGCATCTCTGGGTGACAAAAGTGTCGGTTTTCACGAAGGAACCGTCGCTAAAGAGAACCAAAGACAGACTGAGACGGCATTCCTGGGCGCCGGTGGACAGACGGACGCTGCCTCGGAAAATAAATCAATAGCCAACCGCGGATGGTAGCAAAGAAAGCGGCAACCTCTCGGGTTCTCTCCTCAGACCAAGCCGCCCTTAGCTCCCGCCATTGTGGCGACGAAAAAATGTCCCCGGCGACGCAGATAAAAGCCGTGCTCCGTATCAGAAGCGGCGGCGACGACGACGACAGAAAACGGAATTTCCTTCCTCTTCTGCTGCCGAGAAACAGCGACAGGCGGTGGGGGAGGGAGGCGCGTCCGCGGCGAGAACAGCCTCTGGCTCGTGCTGCCTTCAGGTGCTCAGAAGAAAATCAGTCATCCCTAGCTTAGTCACTGAATCTTCTTACTGAGTGTGTGTGTGTGTGTGTGTGTGTGTGTGTGTGTGTGTGTGTGTGTGTGTGTGTGTGTGTGTGTGTGTGTGTGTGTGTGTGTGTTTTTCATATAGCGCTTTCTAGAATCCTGGAATCCCCCAAGGCGCTTCACAACACAATCAGTCATTCACACGCTGTTGGGGATGAGCTACCATGTAGCCACAGCTGCTGACAGAGGCGAGGCTGCTGAGCTCAGGTGCCGCCGGTCCCTCCAACCACCACCAGCAAGCAAAGGGGCGTCTTGCCCAAGGACACAACTGCAGCGAAAAGGCTCAAACCTGCAACCTTCCGATTACAGGCAGCACTTAACTCCTGTGCCACCATCATCCTGTTATCTATACATCAAAGTGAGGACCAAAACAAGCCTTTTACCTGCAAACTGAGGACATGTTGCTGGTCCTCCCTTTGGTACAAGTGAGTTTTAGTTAGGGTTAGGGTTAGGAACAGACTGGTTATAGTTTGGGTTAGGCAGTGAAAGCTGGCAAGTGACATTCATTTCTTAAAGAAATGTTGGGCCTTTAAAGGGAGACAAGGCAGTTTAGCTTGCTTTTAGCACCCCCTAGTGTCCGTTAGTAGGAGCAAAACCAAAACCCATCTCCTCGCTGTGCGTTTGTCTTTACACCCTAATCTTAACAGCTGAAACCTCTCCCAGCGTTCCTGGGTATGTTAGAGTGAGTCATCACCAAATTAAACATCAGCTGGGTGATCTAAAACATGCAGCGCCAGGTATGTCGGCTCCATCGGGCGGCTCCAAAGTGTGAAATTCTGGCCACAGGAGGCGACGGGGGCCTTTCATTGCCCCTGTTAAGGCTCATTTCAGCACATACTGGCTCAAGAAAATGATTTAAAATATTAAACAGTTGCAAAGTATCCCTGTAACTGCTCCAAATGGTTAAGAGGTAAAATCCTAAATGTGACGACAGGCCTCGGTTTGGCTGATTTGTTCTGTATGTGGTCTTCTGGATCTCTAAATGAAATGAAGAGCTAACCTGCAGGTGTGTGAGGATTCAGGGCCAGTTAACTCGTTCAGTCATGAGATACAAACCCACTCTTCGAGGCTGTGCAGTTCTCAGCATCTGGATGTGAAGTTTGTAAAATGTGTATAAATGTGAGTCCCTGGCAGACTTTTATTAAACTACACCGAAGCCCGGTTAACCCGTCCGTAGTTCTGATGCAACAAAGCTGTCATGTTCCCGACAACGGGAGCTTCCTCCTGTTAATAACAGAACCCGGCCACCGCTGCAGCACACTGGTCTGCTGCAGACACCGTCCAGCTTTACTGTTTAATGGTCAGAAACCAAAGTCCATGCATGCACAGCAGATATAGTAAAGCTCTGACGGTTGCTGTTCGCAGGGCTGGAACGTAACATTCGTCTGTCAGCTCTGAATATTTGAGCATCTGTTCATTTATTCATATTTGATATTTGGTATCGAGCTGTTTAGAAGCAAAGCGTCGGTGTCTAGTTCACCGGAGTGATTAGGTAAATATTTCACACAACATTCAGAGAATTCTGTCGTCGTGTTGAAGAATAAAAATGAATATTTATGAGCTTAATTCCTTTTAGGCACAAATTAAGTTGAGAGTTTTGAAGAAAAGTTATTTTAGGTTAAATGAATTCAAAAAGACAAAATGTGTAATCACATGTTTTGTGTTGCATGATGAGCAGAATCTGCTACAGACGTTTCCATTCGTCCCAAATCCAGTAAGCACAAGAATCCGCGTGTGGGATTATTTAACGGTAAGTTCCTGTAGGAGTTAGGGTTAGGGTTAGGAGAGGTTTGGTGTGGATGGGTGTTTTATTTGAATATGACACGATGCAAATATGAAGCATGAGTTTACTAAAGTATATCCAGACGTGTTAGTTTAAAACTACAACATGTGTTAAGGATTCAGATGTTACACTGAGTTTTTGACTCTTAGTTCAGTGATGCAATTCTTACAATTATGTGCTTTTTATTCTATTTTACAGGAGAATAAAAATAAGCACACTTGATCACAAAGCAGGAAGCAGTCTTACCTGCACGGATCTGAACCTGCTGGATCGAATCCAGGGCCTCATGGTGCTCCTGTGGGTTCAGCCTTCCTGGTTGTGACTGAGACCTCCGCGGGCTGGGCCGCTGACACCAACACCAGCAGAGAAATCATCCGATCACAACGCTGCTGGCTGTGGAGGATCGATGGTGTAAAGATCAGCGTTGTTTCAGAGACCTCTGACATCATTAGCATCACTATCCACTCAGCTATGTGGAGTGTGTTTACATCTCTGGTGTCAAATAACCAGAGTCCAAAATAAAAGTGTTTGGGGAACTGTCGATAATTCCAATGGGTTATAGAGAAGGAAGAAGGTGGTGGTCTGTTTCTGTTGGTGGTTTAGTGTGTGTGTGTGTGTGTGTGTGTGTGTGTGTGTGTGTGTGTGTGTGTGTGTGTGTGTGTGTGTAGGTCACATCAGCAGGTATTGATCCAACCATTAAGAGATCAGAACAACATGCACCAACATTCCTCATCCAGGAGTTCAATTATTTTATACAAAACACGGATTTTAGATCTTTTAATTGTAACAAATAAAACGTAAGAAATGATTAATTACACCAAAAGGATCTGATTCCACAGTGCACATGTATTAGTTACACACACACACACACACACAAATCCATGTGTGTGTGTGTGTGTGTGTGTGTGAATTCTTATCTGTTAATGGACAAAAGCGTAAAATACAAATGAACACTTGTAATAAACATTCATTCACTCACTCAAAACGTTTGCATCTTGATGAATGAATGAGTTGTTTCTGCCAATCCACAGTGACCTGACCTGTAATCTGGACGGGATTACAGCCGGTGTGACCTGCTGTAGGTAGTGCATTGACATCATTAAAGGGTTTTTTAAAGAAGCGCACACAGCAAACTAAAACATAAATAAACTCTTCCGGTACTAAAAAGTAAAGATCCGGTTAAAAATAACCAAATCTGTCTGAAAGGAGCATCTGAAATAAAGAGAAAACACATGAGACTTTTAACTATAATCATACAACAATGGAGATAAACTTCCTACTAAAACCACATGGGCTCAGTCCATAGACATAGATATTATAGATCCACACCAGACTGAGGTCACAGCACCACCTGCAGGCAAACGCCTGACAGTACAGAGATCAGAATTTAGTTTCAGAGATAATAAAACCGCTCACAGCTCGTTTCAGTCATCATTACATGTGTGTTACTTTTTAAATCATGCACATGGTTTCCTTCATGTTTAACATATTTATCGTTTATGACGTGGGGTCCCATGGAGGTAGCATTGGATAGAAAATTCCTTCTTTGTCCCTCAGTGGCAACATTTAGGTGTATCAGTCCCAGAGTCCCGACCAAGACGAATAAAAGGCTGTACAGCGAACGAGAATATGTATAAAAATAAGATGCAATGGAAATTATTACTTTTAAGGGTCAACTTTGCTGAAGAACCATTTTTAAATGATTATTTCACTCTTGAGTGTTTGATCCAGGCTGAACATGAGAATAGTCTCCTACACCCATCTCCTGCAGTAGCTGCTGATAGAAAACAGACGGTGAAACTCTAGGATAGAAAATCCTGACAGATCTACGTCACGCTGTCACTAACATTCATGCACTCACCCATCTGGACTCACGACGGGGAAGGCTGTTGTTGGTTTAGCGTCCAGGAAACAGCAGAGCACATCTCAGCTAGTAGAAGCTAACTGTTAGCATTAGCAACTCCACCACATAGCAGAACTACTCCAGGCTTGTGGTATTTGTGGAGATAAAACATCAGCGCTGCAGAGCAGACAGAGTCAGTGGTAGAGTCGTGTTGCTGTTAGCCAATCAGAGGAGAGACTTCTGAATATCAGGAAGTAAGACTCCAGATCCTGTCGTCTGAAAAATCCAAGTTTAGATCCAACTTGCCTTTCTACCTAAAGGCCAATGTCTAAGCTCAGCATTTTGTCTAAGGTCCTGTAGAAAGTGGTTCATTCTCAGCTACAGGAATATTTAACCTTGCGTTGCATAAGTTCCAGTCAGGCTTCACGGCACGTCATAGCACCGAAAGTGCTCTTTTACAGGTTGTTGTCGGCCGCTCTTCTGTTATTGGATTTATCTGCTGCCTTTGATACTGTCCATCATGACATTCTGCTGTCTCCTCTGGAGTCATGGGTAAGGGACAATGTTCTTAAGTGGTTCATGTCCTATTTACAGGATAGGTCCTTCTCTGTGAACTTGGTGGTTTCACATCCCAAACAGCACCTGTGACCAGTGGTGTTCCACAAGGTTCCATTCTGGGGCCCATGCTTTTTTCATTGTACATTTAGCCTTTGGGCTTTTTTTGCCAAACACATCACTTTCCATTGGTTTGCAGATGACCTTCAGATCTATCTACCACTCAGCCCTAATTCAGTTGTCTCCTTAATGGACTGCTTAACAGATGTGAACCAGTAGATGTCAATCAATTTCATGAAACTAAACAATCAAAACACAGATTTTAGTCTTTGGCAGTCACGACTTTTTAAATGGGGTTGTGAGTCCACTTGGTCCTTTCTCAGCCTTAGTAAAGCTCTATGTGGAAAACCTAGATAATAATGAGGAAATCAGACCAAAGAACTGCAGTTCTACTGTATTTAGACCCCAACTGAAGGATTTAGATGTAAAAAGGAATAACTTAAAAGCATGTTATGTCTCCTTTAAGACAACTAGCAAGGGTCAAACAATATCTACCTGCAACGGTCTTTCAACATGTCATTCATTCGTCTCTTGTCGGCAGGAATACTGTTATTCCCTCTATTATGGCCTGGAACACTTCTGTTTAAATCGCTTACAGCTGGTTCAAAATGCAGCAGCTCCACTTTTAACAGGCAGTCTAAAAGGCACACCTGTACATTATTCATGCTGTCATCAGCCCCGTGATGTGCTACACCTGTGAGGTGGGTTGGATGATCTTGGTAAAGTGCTCACCAACACACATGCAGACAGATTCCAGAAAACGTTTCAGATGTTTGAGTTCAGCTCATGAAAAATGGGAGCAAAACCAAAAGTGTTGCGTTTATATGTTTGAATATAATCTGCAAGCTCAGGTATCTGGGACGGGCTTGGAGTAGAGCTGCTGCTCCTCTAGCAACAGCTCTCCCTCTTTCAGTTCAATGGTAATATTCCCATTTGTGACATCACAAACATAAAGATTTTGTGAAAGGCTTGTTTTAAAGGGTCAGTCGCTCCTGGGTGGAAACTTGCTTCACCAACACGTCTTGTTGCATCTAAAGGAGGCATTGCCAGGCGGACCGAGAGGCCGGTGATGAGGCAGTGACCTCGTAACCGACGGCTGCAGGTTCATGCCTCGCCCAGTCGGTTGCAGCTGTTGTGTCCTCACTCTCCTCGCCTGCTGCTGGTGGGCAGAGTGACCGGTGGTGCCTCTACAGCAGCCTCACCTCTGGCAGTGCAGCTGTGGCTATGATGTAGCTCATTACCACCAGCATGTGAATGGATGAATGACTGGTTGTGTTGTAAAATGCCTTGGGGGGCTGTAGAACCCTAGAAGGCACTATATAAATACAAGGCTTGTGCCATGCAGAACCTTATCAAGACTTTATAGGAGGACTTTAAAGAGCAAGTCAACCCCTACCAGAGTCTAACTCCACTCCCACTTCATGTTTGAAAAATGCAACACATGCTGTTGCCTGGCAGACCGAGAGGGCGGAGCTGCTAACAAACACACACTCAGGCTCACAACAGCATTGTGACATCATAATGTACCCGTTTACATCATAGCATACTTCTTAGCCAATAGCGGTGGCAGATTTAAATTAAAATACTGTGCAGAGTTTTTACCTGACAACGGCACAACACTGCCAGTTTTAGGCAAAATATTTAAATTTTAACTAAGATGCACTGAAGTGCCAAATTATTGACGACACGTGTCTGCAGCACGATTAGACACTCGTTTATTTAGTTTATCAGCAAAAAAAAGTTTATTTGGGGGTGACTTGCTCTTTAAGGTCACATGACTGACAGGATTAAGTGTGACACTTTTTCTAAATGCTGCAAATTTAGGATTTAAAGTGAATGAATTTAAAACGGTTGATCTTCAAGGTAAATGAATGTTTAGTAGGGCGTATTGTGAGGGCTGAAGAAAACAGCTGAAGCTGCTGTTTTCAGTGTGCAGCGGGGAACTTGAGTCGTTTTACACCGTCCTGTCAACCACAGCGGTGGTTTCCAGGTCGTTGTTCTTTCTTCTGCACAGACCCAGTCTCACACGAGGAGCCAGCCATCTCATCGGTCTGGGTTCAGCACATCAGCTCCTGAGGACAGGTACAACTGGAGTTTTAGTGAGCGGGATAATCGGCTACACGGGAACTTTTGTTTTAAGTGACTTGAGATTTATCTGACTCTACGAATACCAAAGTGAATGACACTCTTACGAAATGTCAGCAAGTTCTCATCACCGCTGTTGGACACGAGCTCCCGGCTTTCTCTCATAACTCATTGTTTTTGTTATTCAGGCACACATGAAAACCATTTAAATTCTTATTTTTAGTTTCTATAGTAAGAAAAATGCTTAAATCAGAATCAGAAGTTTTTATTGCCACATGTGTGCCAAGTCACAACATTAGGAAATTGCTGCGGTATTTTGGTGCAGAAGAGATAGAAAAAAAATTTAATTAAGAAATAAGCAAATATAAGAACTAATAAAACACTCATGATAAAATTATTAATGTAAAAAGTGGCAAATTTTTTTACTACATGTTCAAAAACGATGCTTGTTGTTTTTAAAATGTCTTTGAAGACCTACTAATGTATTTGTGAAGATCCTACCTGCTGCAGGTGACATCAGTCTAGGCGGCTGCTGGCCACGCCCACCCAGACTCGTGGCTAGCGTGATTGCTACGTGTCTAATTTACGATAAGTCTTTATTAATCCCACGGTGGGGACATGTGTGCGTTACTACAGCTCAGCACAGGTAGCGAGTACAAACGTGACCAAAATAAGACAAGCCCATCTACCAGCGGTACATCTGCAGACACAAACACTTTTTATCGCATTCAAAATCACTCCTGCTAAAAAAGTCATAAAGTCCCACAGCTGTCACACACACACCGGTGGGGTGAAAACTGTCCTCTGCATGGACCATCCCCGTGAGGAACGGTCCGCTGCAGACACGGCTGCGCTCGGGAACTATTTGGTCCTGTTGGCTTCAGCAGAACATGATCTCCAGCTCTCAGTGGAGCGGTTCACTCGGTCATCTAGTTAGACGCCTCCCTGGTGAGGTTTCCCAGGCCCATCCAACCAGGACGAGACCTAAAGGGAGACTATGTCTCTCACCTGGCCAGGGAACGCCTTGGGATTCCCCGGAGGAGCTGGCCCAAGAGGCTGGGGAGAGGGAAGTCTGGGCCTCTCGACTCAGGCTGCTGCCCCCGCGACCCGACTCTGGATAAGCAGATGAAAATGGGTGGATGTGTGCCGCTGCTGCTGTTGTACCACTCTACTCCACCCGCGTGGAGAACCGGAGAACTCGGCCGGAGGCCCGTGTACAGTAGCGTGGTAGTTCGGACACGACCTCATGCTAAATCCTAGAGGTTTGAACATGTTCCTAGGCATCAATAGGAGCGTTTTCAGCAGCACTCTACTGGTATGGTGGTGCTCTGGCTAACCTTCAGTACCGCTCCAGTCAGAGGACTACTTCCTGTTTCTACAGACTCGGCCACCTTTGGGTAGCATCGCCTGCATGTAGGGTCCTTAAGGCGGAAACGGATTATTTACTCATTGATAATCTTAATCTGGTTTAAAGTTTCAGTCCCGTAGCTGATGATGCTTTCAGCGGTGACTCTGGCCTCGGATCCTCTGGGAGTGGGCGTTGGACCTCTGCCCACCTCCATGCTGCTGTGACCACAACTCAGCAACGGTTACATGTAGAGACGGAGGACGGACACTCATCCCGCTCTGCCAGACGGCACCAAGAATCTGTTCTTCTACAACAAACTGAAGGAAATCCCAGCAGGCCGGTGGAACGAGCTGCAGGTAAGGAAACAGCTACGTGGTTTACAGGCTCCTGTATGTGGTGAACTAAACGATACCTCCTCTCGTCCACACTGCAGGTTCTGGACTTGACCCAGAACCAGCTAAGTGTCTTCTTATCCCACAGCCCAGTATGATGAAGCTCTACGCTCCTGCTTCGAGACAACACCCTGGAGTTTCAGGCTCGGGTCAGTTTCTAAACTGCCCCGCTCTCACCATTTTGATTTGAGTAAAAACCAGATAAGTCTACCGGCGGGACTCGCAAATCTGAAGACTCTGTTCCTGAGCTACAACCAGACTGAAGTCCTGCAGATGGACGCACTGCCGGGAGTCCCAAACCTCACCAAACTCTACCTCAGCTTCAACAGCATAGCTCAGATAGACGACGGTGTTTTCAGGAGCTCCGCCACGTTAGAGAACCTCGATCTGTCCAGTAACAGAATCCTAACGACAGGAGCGTCTGGTTTCAGAGGAGCAGCAGGTCTCAAACACCTCTGAGTAACAACCAGCTGGACGTTGTTCCATCTGAAGCTCTGAGGGATGCAGACAGGATCCAGTTTCTGTATCTAGCAGGATGCTTCTCTGCTCTGGGCCTGCTGCTTCGTCTCGACCTGAAGAAAAACAAACTGAACGTTCTCTCAGATGGGTCCCTCACAGGTCTGCTCAACCCGACCTACCTGGACGTCAGTGAAAACCTGTTAGCTTCTCTTCCATCCAGAATCTTCCAAGACCTGATCAGACTCAAAGTTCTAGACTTGTACAGAAACAGACTGGCCTCTCTGCCCTGGGATGTGTTCAGAAACCTGACCAGCACCATCTTACACTGGTGATCTTCTTAGTCCCTGCACCCCCAGCAGGTCCCTGAGGTCCAGTGATCAAAGCCTACTGGTTGTGCAGCACCAGGCTAAAGGTCAAAGGTGACAGATCACCTGCTGCTGTGGCCCCCAGACTCTGGACCTCTCTCCCCCTGAGCCTGAGATCAGTGGACTCAGTGGTCTCCTTTAAAAAGCAGCTGAAGACTCACTTGTTCAAGCTGGCTTTTGTATGACCTTCTTCACCTCTCTCTCTTTATTCTGCTCTCCCCACCTATTCCACCTTCCTCAGGATCCACTGGTTTCCCTCTTTCCTGTTCACTCTCTCTCTTTCTTAACATTTTTAATCACAACTGTCTATTTTTTGCTCATTTTAAATATATTTTTAAACATTTTCTGAATGCTTTTTTATATTTTTACATGTTTTGTTTTTGTGAAGCGCCTCGTGGTTTTTATCTTGAGAGGCGCTATAGAAATATCTTCTTCAGCCTGGAGAACCTTCAGCTGAACATCAAGCAGAACTCCGACGCACCTGCAGGAGTCTTTGAGGCATTGAACAAACTGAAAGAACTCCAACGGTCACACAACCACATCCTGAAGCTCCATCCTGCTCTGATCTCCAAGCTCAAGTCTCGTCCTGAAGCATCTGCCCAGGGGGCTTCTTCACAAGCTGAAGACCCTGAGGAAGATAACCCTACATGACAACCACATAAGGTCCCTCCACCTTCCACGGGTTAATGGGTGCATGCTCACTGAGCCTCTCCAACAACCACCTCTCCTCTCTAGATCCAGACCAGTTCAGGACTCTCACTGGTCTGAAACGGCTACAGCTGGATGGAAACCGTCTAGTCAGACTTCCCTCAGACCTCTTCGTAGATCTCCTAAACCTTGTAACCCTCAACCTGGGCAACAATCATTTATCTGAGCTGTCAGTGGATGACTTTGAAGGGTTGACCCACCTGGAAGAAGTCAATCTGAGTTTCCATCAGCTTCAGAGTCCCTCTTCCAGGACCTTTGACCCCCTCCAGAACCTCAGCAGTCTCCTGCTGCAGAACAACAGCCTAGCAACGCTGGCCACTTTGCCCCACTATCAAAGCTAACTGAACTAAACCTGGATACTAACCAGCTGGTTCACCTGGACTCTGACGTCTTTCAGGGACTTACGGATCTCCGCACCGAGCTTGAAGTCCAACCAGCTCAGGACTCTGAGGAGCCAGACTTTGGAGCCTTTGAGGGAGCTTCATTCTGTTCATCTGTCAGATAATCTGTGGGATTGTGAGAACAACGTTCACATCTGTAACTGGGTCACTTTGCACCCAGACAAACTCGGAGATCAGCCCACGTTATGACCCCTCATCGTTAAAATCTCCTCCAAGCTCTTCCTTCACCGAGACGATGCGGCTCTCAGAAGCATCGCCCCAGCTCGTATCGGATCACTGCCTCAGATCTGCACATCATCACTTCCTGTTGCAACGCTTCGTGGGCTAGCTCTGCCTCTTCTATCCTCCCACCTCTCAAGTGGTTTTCTGCCCCTCAGCACCGTCTCTGTTCCTGTCTGCACTTAAACTCTCGAGTTCAGATTTGCTCCTGGAAACCTGCCGGAGGAGCTGGTGGAGGTGGCCGGGGAGAGGATGGTCTGGAGCTCCCTAGTTGGGATGCTGCCCCCGCGACCCGGACCCGGATAAGCGGAGGAAGACGACGACGACCAATAAAACCCTTTAAGCTGCCTCAGATTAGAAGGTAGACGACAACGCCAGAGCAGAACAGCTCTTCTGTTCTCAAAACTGTTTTATTATGTTCCCAAATAAACTCCAGAAATAAAACCTTTGATATTTTTTGGGGGAAACAGAATCTGAACAGTTTTTGTATTTATCACATCAGCTGATGCTCGCCTAGATCCAGACTTCTGATCTCAGGTTAAAGGTCAGACAGAATCACGTCAGCCGGTCAGAGCTCAGAAACCTCAACATTTCATGTGTCAGTCGACATTTCTCACCCTGATAAACTTACAGAATTAACAAAAGGATGAATAAGTTCATCTGCGAGCTGCAGGGTCGCCTTGCTGCAAGGTTTGTGGTTCAAATCCCACCAACAGACCTAAAGCATGCATGCTGGTGCTAGTTGTGTGTCCCTGTGATGAACTGGAGACCTGTCCAGGGTGTCCTTAGATGACTGCTGGACATCAGCTCCCAGCGACCCTGATAGCATAAGCAGTTCAGGTGATGGGGGGGTGGGTGGACCTCCACCACACCCCAGATTCTCCTCACACATAGAAACACTTGTGGTCCTTCAAGTTCCTCAGGTAGGAGAAGCTCTTCCCACATTTGTCACACATGAAGGGCTTCTCTCCGGTGTGGATCTGCTGGTGAGCCTTCAGGCTGTTGCCCTGGTTGAAGCGGCGCCCGCAGGTGTCGCAGCTGTATGGCTTCTCACCTGTGTGGATGCGCTTGTGTCTGCTCAGGTTGCCCGCATTGTTGAACCCTTTTCCACACGTGGGGCAGATGAACGGTTTCTCTCCGGTGTGGATCGCCTTTAGAGGAGAAGGTTGGAGGGAGAGCGTTAAAAAAAACCTGCATCAGGTAAGATAATAAAAAAATAAAAAATAAAAGACTGCTGCTCGCCTAGCTGTTAGCACATCAGTCCTGGAGGACAGAACTAACACAGTGATGACAGAAACTCACGCTAAGCACAAGTTTCCCATCTAGCCTGGGTTTGGAGCGCTGCTGGTCACCAGCACACAGGAACTGGCCTTACTGGAACTCCAGTAGAATGTGTAATATCTACAGACGTTAGCATCTGATGCTATTTCTGCTTGCTAGTGACCTAACTGATAACTCGCACTTGCTTTAAAACTTTTATTGGGGGAAAAAATTCTCCCAAATTAAAATTGATTGACTTTTTCTTCACACCAAACAACCTGCTGACGTCTGGTACGACCTCCTAAGCAGGTGGAAGCTGTATGTAGAGCTTTCCTGTGAAAGCATCATAATTATGTGTGTGTGTTACTAAGGTAGTGCCTTTGGTAGCATTTTGTGTGCTAGACCGTAATTTGTTAAGAGTGATTATTTATCATTCGTTTGAGTTTAGGTTAATTACATATGGTGAAATGTGATATAAGTTTGTACATGATATAAACATTTAAGGCTCATATTGGCTTGCCTAACTTTAGTGCGCATGCGAAGAGCCTACTTTTCGTTAGTCGTCTGATGGTCAGGGTTGAGATGAAGCGCCGGTGAGTACGATAGCTGGTTATATTGTTAGTTAGTGATTTATGTTGTTAATGCGTGTGCCCGTGTGCATGTGCGTTTCATTGTAGGTTTACCACTAATCACTAGTCGCTTCCAATGATCGCTATTAAAGCTAATTTAAGACGTGAATCGAGGACGCAACTGTTGTGCTAAAAAAGGGGTAGCGAGACCTCGGGCCGCTACGACGGAGCATAGGTTGTATCTTGTCCTGTCGAACGTAAATAAAGGAGTGACCAAGATGGAGTTGTGCCCATTATACTCTCCCTGACACCCCTGTCAGTTGGGAAAATCTTCTTACTATAGCAGGTAGCTGGGAAGATAACTGAACACTCGTAAACCGTTGGCGGAGCCGTGCTAATTAACGTACAGACCCATGCAGATAACGAAGCACTAATTATAAAATCGAACCTGTCGGCACACTACTAAATGGCGAACAATTGAGGATTTGATAAAGAGACACTCGAATGCGCAACGCAACTTTATGACACGCATAAACCGCCTCGAGGTGAGCGCTAACCGTCTGCGTGAAGTTAAGTTGACAAACGAGTTAGCAAAGCTGAAGGATGAATACGACAGGCTTCTGGATACCAACAGTTTAAAGCAGCTCTTGAGCGTTCTGCCATTCTTGGAGAGAGTAAAGTAGTGCCATGGACACAGCAAGGAGTTGAGAGTAATAAGCTGGACAGAAAACTCCATGAGTTAAAAGGTGTGTACGCTTGGAGAGATTATCGTCCGTGTGGAAAGGAAAAGTGGTCGTTATTTCTAGCATTAAAGGAAGATAAGGAGCAGCTCATGGATGGGTGGGCGAGCAGACGTGATAACAAGAGCATACAGGAGAGTGGAAATTGTGCAGAGGAAGGAGAAAATGAAAGTGATGGTGGCAAAAATGCAGCTGATGGCCAAGAGATAACCACGCTCGAGAATCAACCACGCGACCCTGCTAGCGTTGCCCCACCAGTGCTAGAAGACCTTGTTTTATGTACACCCACAAATGGGTGGCCAACGTTGCACATCTCGAGTTCCCTTTCAGTCCTGTCGCCAAGTATTGTGAAAGTCTCCCAAGGTGAATCTCGTGGAGAAAAGGTTTTCCCGGGTGAGGCCCCACTCTATGAGATCCAACCTCTGATGCGAACACAGTACCCTGAAAAGGGACATGGCTTCAATTTTGCTCCGCCTACATTCCCACCTGACGTAAAGCAGAAACTGTTGGGGTTCAAACCTTCCCCACCTCGTGATCCCGGTGGGGGGACAAGGTCGTAACATTCTTCACAGCATGCCCAGTTCTCATGCTGTTGGAGACTTCATCACACAAGGGGCCCGCCCCAAAATAAGGCTTGTACCCATAAGTATTCCCAAGTTCTCCAGGGATAGGAGATTATTGGTGGTGGAAAACTGAATGGGAGTGTATTCAAGTGCAAGTGGGGCCATCAGGGTCGCAAGAATGCAAGAAACTCCACCTCCCTGACAGTATTGTAGAGACCATAAAAAATCATCTTAAACTACTGCATTGTAGGGATGTGAACGACATCTTCAGAGAGCTGGAGAATCGCTATGGCGACAAAGCACAAACAGCCAAGGAGATTGTGCTTGAACTTCAGGCACGACCAGCTGTAAGAAATAATCGTCCTAAAGAGACAATGGAGTTGATTCTGGCAATTGAGAGAGCAGTATTGGACCTTACAGATCTGGGGTGTGAGGATGTTGAGAGAAAGCAATTAGTCGTTCGGTTGTTGGACAGTAAACTCCCCGAGATCATGAAAAGAGAGTGGCTGTTTGGGGAACCCCCTTTACGAAGTTAATCAAGGGAACCGTTTCAGCAAGCTCTTGCTGTTCCTGGAGAACCAAAAATTGTTGCTTGTGAGGTTGGAGCAATTACTTTCTAGTAAGCCTCATCCTAACCCGTGTTCTGAAAACCAGCTTACAGGGGAAAGGCCAGAGACAAATGGAAGGAACGGAAGTCATTCACCAGAGCTACGGTGTGCGAGGGTGAGTGAGAGGAAAAGCAAATGCCATGTCCTGTGTGTGGTGATAAACGTCATGGGAAAATGCTGCTTTGCAGTGAAATTTTCAGAAAAGCAAGTTTGTTTGACAAGAAGGCCCAGATGAAGAAGATCAAAGCATGCCTGAAGTGCCTGGGTGTTCACAGAGATGACAGTGGTTGTACGTCCAAGTTCCTTTGCCAGAAGGAAGGTTGCAAGGAAGTTGATTCTCTGGGAGGTCATCATTACATCCTCTGCCCAGAAGCGTCGAAAGGAGCAGATGCTAATCGACGAAAAGATGAAGTGGAGAAAAGAAAGGGACCCCAAGGACCAACAGAGGAACAAGAGGCTGTGTTTGGCACGTTGGGCTTGAACCCCACTCAGAAGCAGTCCGGAGAGCGTGTACCAACAAAGCAACCCTATCCAAATGCTCTAACGAGAGTTTAAAGGAGAGTCCAGTCCTCATGATGCTTGTACCAGTCACAACAAAGAGAGGAGACAACCTTGGTGCAATAGTTGACCTTGCATCCGACACAAATTACATTACTGATCAGGCGGCCGAGAAACTCGGTCTGGAAGGAGATCCAATCACCCTAATCGTGCACGGAGTTGGCGAGATGAAGGTAAGAGTTGACACCAAGAGATACCTCGTAAGGTTAAAGTGTGGACACCCAAGAGGACCTTAAGATTCCACGAAATGATCTGTTACGGGTTGGACAACATAGCAGAAGTGGAACAAGCATTGAGGCCTGGCAGACTTGAACGGCTTTTCCCTGAAGCTGGACCGCAGGAATTAGCTTGCCCAGAGAAAACCGACCTTTTAATCAGCACCCGTGAGGGACGTTTAGCTCCCGAAAGGCTTCAAAGAGTTGGTGATTTAGTGCTCTGGGATTGACCGCTAGGCAAGATAGTAAGCAGAACCCATCCTGACCTTGTCAAAGGGGTGAGAGTGTCTTCGTGGGAATCTAAAACGCACTTTGCACGGCCGATGAGAACAATGGCTGTCAGAGTGGATGAGCACAGCACGTCTGAGTCAATGGGCTGTAGAAAAGTCCAAGAAGTGTGCAATAAAGAAGTAATCGAGTGGTTCACGTGGGACAGCGTCAGTGCAGCATGTGATCCTGCGTGTGGGGGATGTCATTGTGGTAGTTGCCCACCCGGAGGAAAAGGAAATGGAAATAATAAAAGCAGGTTTAACATTTAAAGAGAAAGATGTTCACAGTGACGAGTCACACTGGGACGCGAAGTATCTCTGGAAAGAGAACCTGACTTCTCTGCCCAATAACCGGAAAGCTGTAGAAGCGACATTCTTGAAAGCAGAGAAGAGGCTCATGAAATACCCCCTTTGAAGAAACGCCTACGCAAAGCAAAATCCATGAGATGGTGAGAAGGGGAACTGCCATTAAGCTCACCAAAGATACGATAAACGACTGGAAAGGTGCTGTGTGGTGGGTGAGTCACTTGATTGCACCAAACCCACATTCCGTGACCACACCCGTGCGCCTCGTGTGGAACAGCAGCCAGGATGAAGGGACCCGATGTCCTGAATTCCATAAAAGCTGTGCTCCTGAGGGTCCGTAGAGGAGCACATGCAGCAATTGGAGACATCTCAAAGATGTACAATTCGGTTTGGCTTGAGGACCAGGAGGTTCACATGCATCGATTCCTTTGGGCCAGTGGTTTCGCAACTGAGCCAAAGGCGTTAGAAACGCTAGGGGATCCAAACTCGTAGACTTGGTGAAGCCGACTAAGTTTAGTTCATTGACCAAACTATGCGGGGTAGTGGGTTACCTTCGCAGAGCAGTGACAATATGATTAGCACGTGTTGGTAAATTGACCATGCCAGCAAAGTGGGAGGCGGTATTGACAGTGGAAGAACGCAACACTGCGTTCCTGGACTTGTGTTTAGCTGCTCAGGAAGAGGTCCATTTCCCTGAAACGATGTTAAATAGATTAGTTGTTAAGAAAGACAACCCATCTGGACTTCTGCAATGCTACGGATGAGTCCAAACCATGACCCAAGATAGAGCGGGTATACCTTTGATCCCTTACAATGTGTGGATCAGTGTCCTCGTGGCAAGGGAAGCTCATCGAGCTAACCATGAATGAGTTGCTGGCACACTCCTCCAAATGAAATCCAAAGCATGGACGGTACGAGGATCAAGGATTGTCAGGAGTACGATAGACTCTTGTATTCATTGTCGAAAGGCCAGAGCGAAAATGTGCATACAAGAGATGAGTGAGCTTCCCCTCGAACGAACAGAGCCTGCAGCACCTTTTGAATTCAAGACGTTAGACCTTTTTGGCCCCTATACCGTCAAGGACATAGTGAGACATACAACCAAGATGAAGTTTTGGGGAGTAGTATTCAGCTGCATGGTCTCAAGGGCTGTGCACGCAGATATCGTGGAGGATTTAACAACAGACGCATCACTGAAGGCGTCTCATCGTTTCACATCTCTAAGGGGTCACCCTAAGAAACTTTGGTCTGACCAAGGTACTAACTTTGTGGGTGCTAAGTCAGTGCTTAAAGAGCTCTACGAGTTTATTGACAACATTGACAAAAGGCGGGTCCAAGCTGAAGTATCGGTGGGAGGTACTGATTGGGAATGAGTGGTACATCCTGCCGATTCTCCCCATCGAAACGGTGCAGATGAAGCAGCCGTCCGAGTCCTTAAAAAAGCATTGAGTAGTGCTGGCGTGAATGAGCAAATGACAGCACTAGAGTTCCTGACATTCTTGTATTTGGCAGCTAACTTGTCAAACGAAAGGCCGTTTGGTGCGAGAATTCAAGTCCAAGATGGTGCAGTGGAAGTGATTACTCCAAATTCGCTTTTACTTGGCCGTACTGGGAGATATCCAAGGATTTAAATATCCTGCGTATCCTCTTGTACGCTTGAGAACTGTTCAGATTGAGACTGATAAGTTTTGGAGACGATGGAGCCAACTGGCTGGACCGGGTCTTTTTGTTCACCAAAAGTGGCATTCGCCTGCAAGGAGCGTCGCGGTGGGGGACTTAGTATGGATGGCTGACCAAAACGTTCTGAGAGGTCAGTTCAAGCTTGGCCACATCGTGGAAGTGTGTCCTGATTCAAAAGGAGTGGTACCAGACGCCATGGTAAAGACCTGCAGAAACTACCCAACTCAGGGATGGCAGCCTTTGAAAGACTTAACCGCAGGAAGCCTTCTCTCTGCCATCCTCCGCAGAGATGTCTGGAGGTTGGTTGTTCTGCTGCCTGTGGAAGAGCAGTAAAACATCTCCGCCATGGTGTGTTTCGGTTGGATGTGGATTTCTGACTCTCGCATACTGACAAGCTAGCAGGGCTTCACTGAGATAAGTCATGACTATCTATTTTTGTTTTCATATAAGTTGTAATTGGTGGTGACCTACTTGAACTCGGTGACTCAGTAGGTCAAGTGGGAGGTGAAGAGCTTTCCTGTGAAAGCATCATAATTATGTGTGTGTGTTACTAAGGTAGTGCCTTTGGTAGCATTTTGTGTGCTAGACCGTAATTTGTTAAGAGTGATTATTTATCATTCGTTTGAGTTTAGGTTAATTACATACGGTGAAATGTGTTATAAGTTTGTACATGATGTAAACATTTAAGGCTCATATTGGCTTGCCTAACTTTAGTGCGCATGCGAAGAGCCTACTTTTCGTTAGTCGTCTGATGGTCAGGGTTGAGATGAAGCGCCGGTGAGTACGATAGCTGGTTATATTGTTAGTGATTTATGTTGTTAATACGTGTGCCCGTGTGCATGTGCGTTTCATTGTAGGTTTACCACTAATCACTAGTCGCTTCCAATGATCGCTATTAAAGCTAATTTAAGACGTGAATCGAGGACGCAACTGTTGTGCTAAAAAATGGGTAGCGAGACCTCGGGCCGCTACGACGGAGCATAGGTTGTATCTTGTCCTGTCGAACGTAAATAAAGGAGTGACCAAGATGGAGTTGTGCCCGTTATACTCTCCCTGACACCCCTGTCAGTTGGGGACATCTTCTTACTATAGCAGGTAGCTGGGAAGATAACTGAACACTGTAGGAGCTCCTGACTCCAGAAGTCTCAGCCATATCCTGAACCCACCTGATGAGACTTCAGGCTGCTGTGCTGCGTGAACCTGTGACCACAGATGTCACAGCTGAATGGCTTCTCGCCGCTGTGCGACTTCAGGTGGACCTTCAGGTAGCTGGATGACGTGAAGCTTTTCCCACAGGTGCTGCAGCTGTGAGGCCGGTCCACCGAGTGGTGCTGCTGGTGCGCTTGCAGTTTGGTGATGGAGCTGAGCTGGACACCACAGGGCTCACATGTGCAGGGAATGTCCGTGTGTGTGTGGAGGTGTTTGCGTAAAGAATCCACACAAGGCATCACGATGCCACACGCCACGCAGGCCAGGGTGTCCACTGAGTGAGTGGCCTTCTGGTGCATCATCAGGGAGCTCTTCTGGATGAAGCATTTGCCGCAGGTTTCACATGTGAAAGGACGAACTCCAGTGTGGATCCGCATGTGGCTTTTCAGGGTATTCGCCTGGTTGAAGCTTTTGCCGCACGTCTCGCACTTGTACGGCTTTTCACCCGTGTGTATGCGCAGGTGGCGCGACAGGTTACCTGGTATGCTGAAGCTTTTGGTGCAGTATGGGCAGCAGTAGCCCCGCTCCCCAGTGTGGACCCGCTGGTGCAGTTTCAGGGCGTGTGCTCGGTGAAAACTCTTCCCACACTGATCACACTGAAACAAACGCACCCCGTCGTGGAGGTGCTGGTGGCTCCTCAAGAGACTCTTCAATGTGAAGCCCTTCCCACAAACGTCACAGACGTGAGGTCTTTCACCTGGAGATGGAACCAACAGAGACACCAGATAAATGGACGAACCCAGCTGTCGTTGGACACAAGAGCTAAAGCCTTGCCTGTGTGCAGCTTCATGTGGGTGTCGAGGCTGCGCTGCAACGAAAAGCCTCTCCCACACACGGAGCAGTGGAGGGATTTCTCTATGGTGGCTTCATGGACGGCCTTGTGGGCTTTGAGCTGCGGCAGACTGGTGAACGTTTTCTGGCAGAGCTTACAGCTCAGGTTCTGCTCCTTCTGACCCCGGCTTCCCACTGTGACTCCAGCTTGAGACCTGGACTCTGTGGTGGTCGTCGAGTCACCATCACCTGGATCTGCTGGTTCCACCTGACAGAAATCAGAACGGTTGAGTTTCTAACAGATTTATTTCTTTACCTGTGGCAGCGATGAGCCAACAGTTACAGTCAGGTCCATAAATACTGGGACATCGAAACAATGCTAACATTTTTGGCTCTATACACCACAATGGATATCAAATGAAACGAACAAGATGTGCTTTAACTGCAGACTGCCAGCTTTTATTTGAGGGTATTTACATCCAAATCAGGTGAACGGTGTAGGAATTACAACAGTTTCATATGTGCCTCCCACTTGTTAAGGGACCAACAGTAATGGGACAGAATAAGAACCATAAATCAAACTTATACATTTCAATACTTGGTTGCAAATCCTTTGCAGTCAATTACAGCCTGAAGTCTGGAACACGTAGACATCACCAGACGTTGGGTTTCATCCCTGGTGATGCTCTGCCAGGCCTCTACTGCAACAGTCTTCAGTTCCTGATTGTTCCTGGGGCATTTTCCCTTCAGTTTTGTCTTCAGCAAGAGAAATGCATGCTCAATCGGATTCAGGTCAGGTGATTGACTTGGCCATTGCAAAACAGTCCACCTCTTTCCCTTCAGAAACTCTTTGGTTACTTTTGCAGTATGCTTCGGGTCATTGTCCATCTGCACTGTGAAGCGCCATCCAATGAGTTCTGAGGCATTTGGCTGAATAAGAGCAGATAATATTGCCCGAAACACTTCAGAATTCATCGTGCTGCTTTTGTCAGCAGTCACATCATCAATAAATACAAGAGAACCAGTTCCACTGGCAGCCATACATGCCCACACCATGACACTTCCAGCACCATGCTTCACTGATGAGGTGGTATGCTTAGGATCATGAGCAGTTCCTTTCGTCTCCATACTCTTCTCTTCCCACCACTCTGGTACAAGTTGGTCTTGGTCTCATCTGTCCGTAGGATGTTGTTCCAGAACTGTGAAGGCTTTTTTTAGATGTTGTTTGGCAAACTCTAATCTGGCCTTCCTGTTTTTGGGGCTCACCAATGGTTTACATCTTGTGGTGAACCCTCTGTATTCACACTGGTGGAGTCTTCTCTTGATTGTTGACTTTGACACAGATACACCTACCTCCTGGAGAGTGTTCTTGATCTGGCCAACTGTTGTGAAGGGTGTTTTCTTCACCAGGGAAAGGATTCTTTGGTCATGCACCACAGTTGTTTTCCGTGGTCTTCCGGGTCTTTTGGTGTTGCTGAGCTCACCGGTGCGTTCCTTCTTTTTGAGAATGTTCCAAACTGTTGTTTTGGCCACTCCTAATGTTTCTGCTGTCTCTCTGATAGGTTTCTTTTGTTTTTTCAGCCTAATGATGGCTTGCTTCACTGACAGTGACAGCTCTTTGGATCTCATCTTGACAGTTGACAGCAACAGATCCCAAATGCAAATAGCACACTGGAAATGAACTCTGGACCTTTTATCTGCTCATTGTAATTGGGATGATGAGGGAATAACACACACCTGGCCATGGAACAGCCGAGATTGTCCCATTACTTTTGGTCCCTTAACAAGTGGGAGGCACATATGAAACTGTTGTAATTCCTACACCGTTCACCTGATTTGGATGTAAATACCCTCAAATAAAAGCTGGCAGTCTGCAGTTAAAGCACATCTTGTTCGTTTCCTTTGATATCCATTGTGGTGTATAGAGCTAAAAATGTTAGCATTGTGTCAACGTCCCAAAATTTATGGACCTGACTGTATCTCACAGCTCAGGGGCAAGATGGCCGAAACCTTCCACCACAGCTTTCGCTCATCAGTCAAAAACTCCAAACCAAATCTGACTACTTGGTGATTACACACAATCGTCCCTAAACGCAGGCACCAAAAAGAGAAAGACATCTAAAGCAGCAAAACTAAGTAGTTGATGTGAAACTTTTAGCAAACATTTATTCTGTGAATAAATTCTGTGTAAATACAGGGTTTTCCCCCAGCGCTCTATAAGCCTGGCGGCCCGCCAGGTGAAGCGTCATGCCCCTCCCCCTTGCCGGACCCTACCGTGTCCGCTGACACGAACAGTGCAACGAAACTAGAGCCCTCCATCAGCTGATACTGGTGAGAAACAGCAGCGGAACGTGTGCAACCACCCCTCCCCCACCCTCACAGAGGAGCGCTGCTGGACGGACACCTTGATCTATTCTCAGGAATAGATCAAGGTGATCAACTCTGGAGTGGTTCTCCTCTTATTTGTCTGAGCGTTCCTTCTCTGTGGCCGTCTCCAAGTTTAGGTCCCCTACTACCTCCCTCACCCATGGTGTCCCACAAGGCTCTGTGCTGGGGCCTCTACTCTTCCTCCTCTATCTGCTTCCTTTTCAGCACATCCTGAGCTCCTTCAAAGGAATTTCCTACCATCTTTATGCAGATGACATCCAACTGTACATCTCCTTTAAGCCCCATGAGATGTCTAAGCTGAAGCTGTTACACACCTGCTTAGACTCTATCAAAACCTGGATGGTGGGAGCTTTCTTCAGCTGAATGAAGATAAGACTGAGATCCTCATCTGTGCCCCAGACAAGCTGGTTCCCAAAGTCAGAGACTCTCTTGGTCAGCTTGCTTCTCACACTAAACCTTCTGTTAGGAATCTTGGCGTGACCTTTGACCCAGCTCTCACCCTGGATTCTCATGTCAGTTCTCTTGTTGGCTCTTCCTTCTTCCATCTCAGGAACGTTGCTAAGCTGAGTCCCATTCTGTCCCGCTCTGAACTTGAGACAGTTCTCCACACCTTCATCTCCTCACGCTTAGACTACTGTAACTCTCTTTTCACGTGTCTGAGCAGAACCTCCCTGAACCGTCTACAGGTGGTTCAGAACGCCTGTGCTCGGCTTCTGACCAAGTCCTCCAAACACACCCACATCACCCCGCTTCTCCTCCAGCTTCACTGGCTGCCAGTCAACTTCAGGGTTCATTTCAAGATCCTGGTTCTGGTCTATAGGGCCTTACATGGACAAGCACCATCTTACATTGGTGATCTTCTTACCCCGGGTTTCCACGGGAGCCGTCAGCAGCACGTTACTGCAGCAGCACGTCTTGCTCGTGTAAGCTGCTGCTTGGCCCTTCCCACGAGACGCGAAGCAGCAGGGGAGCAGCTGTCACCGACCGAGCACAAAGTCACACGAGTGACTTCGTCAGTAAACACAACAACAAGCAGGAGAAAATTACAACATGGTTTGTGTTTTATGTCCTGTCCGTTTTATAATCGCCAATACGGACCTGAAAAACAAAGGAGACCGCTAGCTAGGTGATAACTTCTCACGGGGACGCACAGTTAGTAACCTTTTTTAAAAGTAAAGCAACCGGAAAGCAGTACGTTCTTTATTCTGAAAATCTCGGGAGCTTCTCTCCATTTCCGCGTCCGATTTCCTGTCTTTCCTTCCCCAAAAATGTCGAACTTGACCCGTTTCAGAGGCGTTGCGCGTAGAAAATAGAACCGGCGCGTAAAGGCCGCGACATGCTGCTCCTGAGACGCGGCCGACTCGTGCTGCTGACGGCTCCAGTGGAAAAGGTTCTGTTGACCACAGAGGTTCCTATCAGCAGCTATGACGTGCTGCTGCAGTAACGTGCTGCAGACGGCTCCCGTGGAAAGCCGGGGTGAGTCCCTACACCCCCAGCAGGTCCCTGAGGTCCAGTGACCAAAGCCTACTGGTTGTGCAGCACCAGGCTAAAGGTCAAAGGTGACAGATCATCTGCTGCTGTGGCCCCCAGACTCTGGACCTCTCTCCCCCTGAGCCTGAGATCAGTGGACTCAGTGGTCTCCTTTAAAAAGCAGCTGAAGACTCACTTGTTCAAGCTGGCTTTTGTATGACCTTCTTCACCTCTCTCTCTTTATTCTGCTCTCCCCACCTATTCCACCTTCCTCAGGATCCACTGGTTTCCCTCTTTCCTGTTCACTCTCTCTCTTTCTTAACACTTTTAACACAATTATCTATTTTTGCTCATTTTAAATATATTTTTTAATCATTTTCTAAATTCTTTTTTATAATTTTACATTTTTTGTTTTTGTGAAGCGCCTCGTGGTTTTTATCTTGAGGCGCTATAGAAATGATATTTTCTGCCTTTTCTTCTGTCCCTGAGAAGACAATGTAGACATGTACATACTGTACATATTTTTCGTTCTTCCAGGGACCCGTGAGTCAGTCCCTATATGATAATATCAACCATATATAACTGTGCATTACTTCGAGTATTTGTAAGAATAACACATCCAAACCCAATGTTTTGTTTATTTTACCAGGGAGAGTGCTGTCATCCTCTGGGTGATGAAACATTCATTCTTCTGTGTACCTTCTGTAATGCGCTCACGGACCACTAGGGGTACACGTACCTCTATTGGGAACCACTGATCTAAAGCCCAGTTCATGCTTCTGCGTTTGCGTCGGTACAGAGACACGCAACGCCATTATACGTCTTTGTGAGCCAGCCTGAGAGCCCTCGCGAGGACGAACGGAGTCGAGCCCACTTTTCTAAACATCCGTTGAACGAGACGGAGAATGCAAGCTTGTGATTGGTCAGGACAGCCCTTTTGTCAACAGCACCGCCATTGCGCCCTCAAAAACAGATATCTAGTGGCAGACGGAGCAGCTTGATGAATACCTCGTGGAAAAACTCTAAAATGAGAACGTTCATTCACCCGTGACTGAAGAAGTAAAAAGATACGCAGCAAGCGTTTTTATTTGTGGACGGAAATGACGAGAAACGTGGATTTGGAGGTGGCGAGTGCATGAAGAGGTGGTGGAGGATGAGGGACAAATTTGTTTGTGTTAAAGTCTCTGAAATACATAAACACAATATCTTGGATCCATGACAGGATACCACAGAACAGCGCTACGCCCTCTGCTGTCCTGGCAGGGAATTGCTTCACAACACTCCCCAGGAGACGGAGAAGGCTGAACGCTTCCACCAATCCGTGCGTCTCTCCCTCGTGGAGCTGACGCAGAAGCATGAGCCAGGCCTAAATATTAAAATAATTTAACAAGAGGATAATAACGAAAACTTACCTGGTAGTCAGGATCATCATCATCATCATCATTAGGGGCGGGGTCATTGCCAGATGCAACCGCTGTCTGATTGGCTGCGACATCAAGCCCCTCCTCTTTCACTAAAATGATCTGGGGGCTGTCCTGAGAAGGAACATGGAGACAACTTCAACTGGAATCATGAATCAGCGGAACGCTTCTGTTTCCTTCTTTAAACGCACCAATTCTAGAAGTTTCAGGATTCAAGATCATGTATGGCCGCTGCACAGGCTTACGACACGGACTTTTAAGGGGAGAAAAAAGTGTGTATCTAAATTTGTGTGTGTGTGTGTGTAACTTCAGTTCTTACACACACACACACACACACACACACACACACACACACACACACACACACACACACACACACACACACACACACACACACACACACACACACACACACACACACACATCACCAGGTACACACTGACAAAACTACAGTACACACAGATCTGTTTACAAGTACAAAAATCCTTTTGAGACTATTTTCACACCTGACTGATTTGTGCGTACGTGGTGCGTTTGAATGCTCTGTGGAAGCTGGGAAATCCAAATTTCCTTTGGAATTAGTCTAAATTTGTGTTGAGGGGACAAATATGTTTTTCTGTGGAAAAACGTAGTATCTCAGGATCCTGTGGTTATAAAAGATGGAGCTACATTTAATTTTTAATCATCTAAATTTGTTTATTCAGACATATATGTGTTTGTGAGCCATGAAAACAGTGGAAGGTTAAAAGAAATGACTAATAAATGGCAGAGTGGTTCTCTGACTGGAATAAAGCAGGCTTCAGACTGGGAGAAGGCACAAGAAGATGGTACGGAGTCATGGGCGCCTAAGTCACACCCGTCTACTTTCGGACCCCGAAGAATGAACCAATGAATGCAAGTCAATGGTGCTAAAACGCTCTTTTCTAATTCCACTTGTTATGTGCCATGGATTTCACATATGATGTCTGTGAATTTTAAAACACATTTTGATACCAAGAACTCGCTTATTTTCGAATGGGGGGAACGCTATTTTAGGTTTAGTGTGAAAATAAGTCCAGGAGTATAAATGCGCTTCACAAAAGAGACGCCATCGAAGCAGAAACAGAGAAAAACAGGGAAAATGGCTGTAAGTTCAGCGAACTTCAAATCCTTCCTTCAGGAGGAAAGAAGCACCATAAATCTGTGACTGGCGTGGTCAAAACACCCACCATTAGTTTTCATTTAAATAGTTTCCATTATTGAGCACACACCCTGGCCCAAGAGCCACTTCCTTGTCTGGGGACAGTGTGTCAATCGTTCAGTCCTATAAAACATCTGAAATGGTCTAAAATAATAGCTGTCTCATTAAAGCCTGACTGCAAACCATGCTGGGTTTACTTTTACTTACTTCAGAGGAAAGATCACCAGGATGCCGCACCATCTTCTTGTGCCTTCTCCCAGTTTGAAGCCTGCTTTATTCCAGTCAGAGAACCACTCTGCCATTTATTAGTCATTTCTTTTAACCTTCCACTGTTTTCATGGCTCACAAACACATATATGTCTAAATAAACAAATTTAGATGATTAAAAATTAAATGTAGCTCTATCTTTTATAACTACAGGATCCTGAGATACTACGTTTTTCCACAGAAAAACATATTTGTCCCCTCAACACAAGTTCAGACTAAATGCAAAGGAAATTTGGATTTCCCAGCTTCCACAGAGCATTCAAACGCACCACGTACGCACAAATCAGTCAGGTGTGAAAATAGTCTCAAAAGGATTTTTGTACTTGTAAACAGATCTGTGTGTACTGTAGTTTTGTCCGTGTGTACCTGGTGATGTGTGTGTGTGTGTGTGTGTGTGTGTGTGTGTGTGTGTGTGTGTGTGTGTGTGTGTGTGTGTGTGTGTGTGTGTGTGTGTTCAATGATTTGTATGTGTAAGAACTGAAGTTACACACAAAAATATAAACACAAATGTAACGTCCAGCAATGGTCAGTTTAGGTACAGTCTGAACTTTCAACATCTGGTCAGAAAGGAGACACAACACTGCATGTGTTCCCTTTAAATTGGCCTGCCTTCATACCAGCTGGGACTCACAGACTCTGCAAGTCTGAAAGATAAACAATAACTTTCTGTCCCAAGGTCCCATCAGTCTGCCTCCACAGAAGGAACAACTCCAGCTCCAATCAGGTGCTAAATTCAAGAATGATTTACTAAATCAATATGAACTTCTTCCATGACTCATAATCAAGATAATCGTTAAATAAGCACTTGTTTATTACTACTTATAATAATTATAGTTTAATGAAATGCTTCATTAATCTGTGCTCACTGAATGGATGTTATGTTTATGTCTGCTAGAACGTGCCATGTGTTCAACATGTTATGACGACAGGTCCTCACACCTGCGCTCACACAATAACACATATGGCCAAGTTAAACCCTGACACACATCGTATTAAACCAGTCAGAACATCCGGTATCAAGAAGGTGTGTTTCTGAGTTGTCTTGGTAACACATCTCAAACTTGTCAGCATCTGATTGGCTGTCCAATCATAACATCAAAACCTTAAAACTGGATCATCCTGAGTGATTCGTTAGTTCTAGAGAATCGCTCAGACCGGCCGCCTGTAGCAAAACCTCTTTAACCATCAAAGATTTTGACACATCGTCAAAACCTTTTGCACCTGCGAAGCTGATGAGCCAACAGTTCCTGCAGAACAAAGCTGATGTCGTTAGACTCCTTAAGAGTCCGCCAGACGCACGGTACCATCCAGCTGTTGCGACCCGAGACATCTCTGGACTTAAGAGCCGGTACCACGGTATTCTACAGCCCTCCGGTGCCAGAGGTCAGCCAACCCCGCGACTTTCGGATCCACCAAGAGGGTCTCTCCAAAACAGGTGAAGTAGACATGACAGATAGCGTCTGATGTTCTTCTGATGATAACAACTTTATAGCTTAGAGCAAACCAAACTCTTTTCACCAGAACTCAGCGTATTCTGATAAGGAAGCTCTGACGTCGCATTCACACATAGGTTCCTTCATCACGTTTAGTTACATCCATCACAGTAAATGCTTAGTTCATTAGTCATGTTTTAATTGTTTGTAAAATAAATTCTTACGTTTATAAACCGGACTCTTTCTTGAAGTAACACGAAGTGCGGTTGATCACTGAAAAAGCAACGAACCTAGATCTCCTGATAATTACAGTAAAGACCTCGCAGGTTTATATTTTATATTTATATAGAATATTACAACTTCCTGGCCATAACAAATAAAAATCATCGATTTGCCTACACCACACAAGTTTCTAATCAAGAGTTACACACACACACACACACACACACACACACACAAATCTAGATACACACACGGATTATTTAAACCTTTTTTCTCCCCACAGACTCTGGCTGACTAAAGACAGCTCATGTAAGAGGTAGTAAAATAAAATAACAGGACTGAAATAGAAGTCACACACACACACACACACACACACACACACACACACACGGTTTAAGGTGCAAACAAGTAACAGTATAATGATGAAGTTAAACGTGACTAAACTAACTAGCTTTACCTCGTAACTTCTGCCTTCACACAGCTGAATTATGGGTAACCGCTTCACTCCCGCTTCATCTGAGACCACAACTGTTTAAAAACAAAGATGTTCATCACTTTTAGTCTCCGTCAGTTGATTTAACAGAAACGAAGACATAATTTAAAACGGAGCGGTTTGAATCATCTCTGGGTTAGAGTGGCAGAACACGTGCGCGTGTGTGTGTGTGTGTGTGTGTGTGTCAAATTAAAGGTGTGGAACACTCGTTTAATCGTCTGCAGCAGTGTCTAGCAGGAATGAATGCCTTGTAAGTCGTACAGTAGGGAAAAAGCCCAGAAGCGCCTGGATCAGCACGTAGAAGTCTGGAGGAGAAGGGAGCTTCAGACGACAGGATGTGGAGTCCTACTTCCTGATACCGGGACATCTCTCCTCTGTGTAGCGTACCAAAGGTCAAGTTTTCATCAACATGAACAGCAATTAACTTTTAATTTGCAGGTCTCCCCCTGAGCCTGAGTTCAGTGGACTCAGTGGTCTCCTTTAAACTCGCCTGTTCAGGCGTTGGTGGGACCTCCTTGTTCTGCTCTTATTCCGCCTTTACCGGGATCCACCGATTTCCCTCTCTCCTTTTCATGTTGTCTCTCCCTTTCTGTACATTTTTTAAAATCAAAATTTGTGTTTTTCTCATTAAAACGTTATTTTAATCATTTGTAAAAAAAAATTATACTTTTGTTTTCGTGAAGCGCCTTGTGATTTTCATCTAGAGAGGCGCTTTATAAAAGATTGTCTTCTTTCTTTCTGTTTGCTCTACAAAGTTGATGCTTTATCTCCACAAATAACACAAGCCTGGAGGAGTTCTGCTGTGTGGGGGAGTTGCTAATGCTAACAGTTAGCTACTACTAATCGAGATGTTTTCTGCTGATAGGTGGAGGAGACTATTTTCATGTTCAGCCTGCTCAGAGTGACATTATAATCAGAACCAGTCATTAAAAATGGTTTCTCAGTGTTTCACACCTTTAGGAGACATTTGGCCGTCCAGTTAAGAATACATAGAATTGATTTTTGGTTTGTTTCATCAAATCAATAAAAACACAAGAATCAAAGCATTAGAGAATGAAAAAAGCATCTAACCTAACTGTCTCACAGATTCTTCCTCTTCTCTGCTGATCGGACAGCTCCTCTCCTCAGCACCTCCTACCTCCACCACCTCCTGGACTCCTCCTGGAGCCTCCAGCATCAGCTTCAGCTCCGTCTCCATCAGCATTCTCCTCAGGGATGTGATCTCAGTCGTCCCACGTGACACCTGCAACACATGCACCCAGATTCTGGACTTCAGCAATTGAAAGAATTCAGCCAAGATCGGGAATGATGAAGCTGGTCTCGTACTTCCAGCTTCAGAGCCGACAAACTCTCCTCCAACTGCTGACAGATGTTCTTCACCACTCCCTGTGCCAAAGACACCATGAAGGTGCTGAACTCTGCCACCTGAGGAAGAAAATACAAACGTGTCAGATATGAAATCACAATGTTTAAATAAAAACACAATATTCTAATGACTTCAGGCTTCACTTGATAAATGTTATTATGGAGCTAAAATGTGACGTTCTTTTAAACTTAAAGCTCCATTACTGGTCATCATCACACAGATGAAACTCGTCTCCAAAAACAAAATAAAAACCGAGACTTTAGACATTTGGATCAATCATAAAAACCACATTTCTTAAAGGAAAAGGATGAATTAGTTACAGTTTGGTAATTTTCATGAGTGATATCAGCTCTTCCATGTTGTGTACACAGATCGCCTCCGAACAAAACCGGATCCATCTGGAACCTTCCGGTTCCACTTCAGACAAATACCACCGCAGCTGTTGTTCACATAGATTTGTAAATAAACACATACATATAAATGTTTGTATATGTTGTTCACTCGTAAATCACGCGCAGCTGAACTAGCGGAAGTAAACAGAAAGCAGCTAGCTATCGGCTCTATTTCTACAGTCAGATGTTTTCTCCATGACCCAAGAAGGGAAACCAGCACCAGGAAGGACCACAGCACGGATAACAACCTACCTTCTCGTCTAGAGACTTGTGTTCGTTCTCGGTACCACCCGGAGTGCCCTCAACTTGATCTAATCCAGAACCGCGGATAAGTTTAGACACTTCGGACACACTTTTGGAGACCATGATGTCCAAAATAGAGCAAACCATTATCTCCAGTTCCGACATGCTGGTTAATGGAAGAACCTGTTCGGATCTTCAAAAAACTTCAACAGTGTTATTTTATCGTCATTCGTGGAAGCCTGAGATTCCCGTTTTATCTACTTCCGGTTCATGCCTTTCAAATGAAAATAGCTTCTGAGCTCATTTGCTTAAACAACCAAAACAATTGAGTAGGACCTGGCTGCAGACATCAGCTGGTGTGTCGAGAGCAAGATGGCGTGTCATTACTTTTACCGGAAAATCGACGAGCGAAAGACCTCGGCAGGAAGTTGGTCTTTTTTGGCGGCCGCTACGTTGTTTTTGTTTCAACCATACTCGGCGGGTTTCAATTGAGGAAAGGTAAGGATAAGGATGATAGATAAAGAAAGAAAGATAAGGATGAAATTAACTAATTGTTGCAACCTTTCTTAGTTCTTAAATGTAGGCACTGTAGCGTTTAAAGCTTTACCAGAGATTTACTGCAAAGGGCACCGTGTTTCATAGCTAATTGTATCAATATTAACACGCAGTCTTAAAACGAATGCAGGGAGATCACAAGCTAGCTAACACAAAAGCTACATAAATAAAGCTATCAGCAATTGTAGCTTAGCTTTAACTTAGCTATTTGATTTTTCTGGTCTCCCTGTTTGTTAAAACAGTTAAAGTAATAATATTAACTTTATATATAATTTAGACATTATGTAAAGACCACGATTTCTAATACTGACTTAACTGAAACGTTATTAATACCCTTTTTTAATTAAAAAGCGTAGATGCTAAAGTTAGCTTCCGATTCGGGAAATGGCTAAAGGGCTAATACACCCAATTTTTCTCTACTCTGACCATTTTTATTCTGCTCTAGCTCAAAACCTACAACACATACACTCTTCAAACCTGTTTTAGATTATTCTGGGCTCGTAGGAATGCATAAAACATAGTTTGTGATTTGTGAAACCTTCCTCTGATTTGTGAAACTTCAAAAAGACAGATTTATGAATTTATTTTTCAGCATCTGGCCCACACTGGAACTGGTCCTGTGCACCCAGAAATAAAATGTATTTTCTGGACAAGCTTAGCTTTCAATATCTCTAAATATTTTTCAGTTATTGTGTGTGGTGTGCTGGGTCATTCTACTGTGGTTGCACAAGTCAGGTGTCCTGCAACAGGTACAATAACTTTGAAATAGTAGCCGCTTCTCTAATTAATGCCGCCCTCCTTCTGATTCTGTTTCAGAATAATCCTAACCTTATAAAAAATAGATATTTTTGTCGACTGACTGCTTTGATCGGGTTTGGTTTAATTAATATTACCGGATTTAAGCACATGTAGCTGCAAATCATTCAGGAGTTGGAGGCCTTAAATATAGATCTAAAATGAATATCGGACTTCTTCAAGTGACACTGACAAAACTCCTTACATGTGCTTGTATTCTTCATTTGCTAATAAGATGTATTTTTATCTAAATTACAGGACAATCGAGGCTTTGAAAAATGGAACCCAGGCAGTGATTTCAGATGGTGAAATCAAGGTAATGTTTAATTATAATAAATTAAGACTCTAAAATTGGACATAGGATAATGCAATCCCTTGTTTTCTGTGGTAATGTTGCTTATTTTTAACTCTTGTCTCTACTCAGACTGTGTATAAGGATCTCTGCAGTGGTAGAGTGAAGTCTGGCCTCATGTATCTGTGGCACAATCCAGGTGTCTCGCTTAAATTAAAGCAAAGACTAAAGCCACTGATGTTCCACTTTGCTGATGCACAGGTAAATGTATACTGACTTACAATAAGCTGCATCACATTTATTTATGTGGATGCGTGGTCAGTGGGCCACCTGGGTCCGTTGTCTAATGCTGAGAGGAACGTTTTGTTCATTTTTATGTTAACGTGTTTTATAGGTTGACGAGCTGACAGAGCGGATTGGTTCATGCTCAGGAATAGATAAACTAATAAAGAAGAGAGAGTTCCAGTTTCTGGACTTGGTGTTTGATGTCCTTGTTCCAGAGGTACAACGCAGTCTTCAGCAGTGATTGGTATAAAAGTTACTTTTCGAAAACATTTGACAGTGTATGAAGTAATCCTTAACAGAGTTTGGTGGCTTGAGAATCTCGTCTCTGCTTTTTGCGGATGATGTGGTCCTCCTAGCTTCACCCAGCTCTGACCTTCAGCTCTTGCTGGGTAGGTTCGCGGCCGAGTGTGAAGCGGCTGGGATGAGGATCAGCACCTCCAAATCCATGGTTCTCGACCGGAAAAGGGTGGCTTGCCAACTCCGGGTCGGGGGAGAGGTCCTACCTCAAGTGGAGAAGTTTAAGTATCTCAGGGTCTTGTTCACGAGTGAGGGTAGGAGGGATCGGGAGATCGACAGGTGGATTGGTTCGGCGTCTGCAGTGATGCGGACGCCGATCTGTCGTGGGGAAGAGGGAGCTGAGCCAGAAAGCCAGGCTCTCGATTTACCGGTCGATCTACGTCCCAATCCTCACCTACGGTCATGAGCTTTGGGTAATGACTGAAAGAACGAGATCGCGGATACAAGCGGCTAAAATGAGTTTCCTCCGTAGGGTGGCCGGGCTCAGCCTTAGAGATAGGGTGAGGAGCTCGGACATCCGGGAGGGACTCGGAGTAGAACCGCTGCTTCTCTGGATCGAAAGGAGCTAGTTGAGGTGGTTTGGGCATCTGGTCAGGATGCCTCCTGGACGCCTCCCCGGGGAGGTGTTTCGGGCATGTCCTGCCGGCAGAAGGCCCCCGGGTCGACCCAGGACACGTTGGAGAGGTTACATCTCCAATCTGGTCCGGGAACGCCTTGGGGTCCTGCCCGAGGAGCTGGTGGAGGTGGCCGGGGAGAGGACGGTCTGGAGCTCCCTAGTTGGGATGCTGCCCCCGCGACCCGGACCCGGATAAGCAGAGGAAGACGACAACGACAACGATGAAGTAATCCTGCATGTTTTTCAGGTAACAATAAAAGTGTTGGAAAAATGGGAGGGGATGAATCGATATGCAGTTGAGAAAGCCATCCTTCAGCAAATTCATTTGTACCCAAAATAAAATGGTTGTGAAATTAAGTGTTTCTTTGGTTTTATTGTCTTTCACTCAAAATAAATACCAACTAGCTAAATAGTTATCAGCTGTAGACTGTAGTAGTTAAATTCTGTTGCAATGAGCTGCTGTGATACACAATAGGACAGTGTTATGGATATTTAATAACTAATTTTTGTTGCTGGTGAGAGAGGAGTGTTGCTGAAATGTTTTTCACTGCTTCTGGGAGTCCTGTACTTTAGCAATTGGTGTAGGTCAAAAGTTCATCTTGGGCTTAACAATAAAACAGAATATTTAGCCAGTACTATTTTGTTTGCACATTTTGAAAAGTCTTAGTTTAATGTGTTCTCATTTTTTCCATATGTTTTTTTAATTCACTTTACAGCCTTTTATTGTGTGTGTATATATACATATGTGTGTGTGTATATATACATATATATATATATATATATATATATATGTGTGTGTATGTATGTATGTATGTGCTATTGTCATAAAAATTCCCTGTCTGAAGAACAAAGGGATTTAATATTCAATTTTCATGCAACGCAGGTTACAACGTTACTTAAGTTTGCCAGTCCAGATCTGAAGAGAAAAAAAAAAATCCGAAATAAAAAGCTTTTTACGGTAAGTTTTGTTTTTTAAAAAACTACTTCCAGTGAAAGTAATGACTTCTGGTTAAGGTAATGACCCACCGTGTAATTTTTCTCTTAAATATGTACAAATCGAAGAGAAAAACGACACGGTATGGTTTTGACAAATTCAAACTACTTTTGTGCTTTGTCAATAAAGCGTATTCAAGAAAAAAAAACTACTTCCGGCAAAGGCAATGACTTCCGGCGAAGGTAATGACACTTTTTTCCGGATACGTCATTTCCTGTCACGGCAAAGACGCCAGCTGATGTCTGCAGCCAGATGCTCTTGAAACAATTTAGTATGTTATTTGGCCTTTTTTACTGTAGTGCTTAGTTACTGTTGTGAAAAAAGACGCATTATCATTTACTGAAGTAACAACAAATTTATTATAAAACTGCTACAGTGCTGTTTTAGTGTGAAATACTTTACCGGAAGTAATACTGTGGCGTTTTAAAACAATGCCCTCAATAGGCCACAGACGCAAATATTTTATTTGTCTAATAATTTATCTTCTATTATTGACATTAGAACTTCATTATTTTCTTGTTGATACATTTAAAATAAAAAAGGAAAGTGAGTGTGTGTTATTATTCCAAAAAATCTAATATAAGAACAAAACTAACGCTCAATCAAACTTTATTTATAAAGCGCTTTTCCTACAAAAAGTGCAACTCAAAGTACGCTCTGGAGGTTTCTTCCTGTTTAAAGGGAGTTTTCATCTCCACTGTCACTGCATGCTTGCTTAGTATGAGGATTGCTGTAAAGTCACTGACACTAGTCAGTGACTCGATGCACTTTGCTGTGTTCCTTATATAGAAAACGTTTTTCTGATTGGCTTAATGAACTGACCTGAATTGGAATGTTTATATGTGAAGTGCCTTGAGACGACTCTTGTCGTGATTTGGCGCTTTATAAATAAACTTGAATTGACTTGAGCTCGAGTCATGACCACATCGGTTTCCATCCAAGAGCTCCACAAGCCGGCAGCTCGCGCCGCGGCGATCAGAGATGCGCCGAGCTGCGGGGAGGGGACCATACAGATAGTTGGAACCCAGCCCCACCAACATGTTACATTTCAACCCATATTCAAAAATGTAGCGTCATGTTAAATGCACTGGGTTTTACCCCATTACATTTAAATTTCATGGTTAAACAGTACGTATTAAAATCTAAGCTCAGCTAATGCAAGAGATGCAGTGACCGAAAATACATAAATATAATTATACTTACAGGAAAAAATGGAAGTGGAGACTTCTTGGACGCTCCATTAGTGCATTTAATACCACAGCAAGTCATTTTTTCCAACAATTGCAGAATATCCAAAAAAGAACGCACAAATGCTACAACTACTGGTCTATGTTCAGAGACTAAAAATCGCGGAACAGTTTTCAGGCAAGGCCGAGGCTCTACTGAGGCCTTTCCTCTGTGGTCACGTGGGTCTGATGCTCATTAATTATACAGAATTTTAGGCTTTTAATACACTTAAACAGAAGAGTGAGAAAAAAATTCACCCCCCTCAGAGTTGTCATGAGTGTAAACTAGATCTATTGAACCTAAAACATGTTCTGGTACCAGGCTGTAAACATGTTTATTTCTGCTGTGAAATTGGTATTTTTAACATGGGAGTCAATGAGGATTTGCTCGCTCCTGACACCAGCCCCTAGTGGATGAGGGTGGAACTGCAATTTATTTCATTTCCGCACTGGCCTCACTTTCAGAACCGAATTGTGGGGGATTGGTCACGACACACGCGCGCGCGGTGGGTCTGACTGAGAAGACATCATCAGGGAGCCACAAGGGGTTGGAGGACCATGGGGTACCAACAGCTGCACCTTGTTTGGCAAGAGAGTCTGCAAGTTCGTTCAGATCCTTATCAGTTCCGGGTGCAGAGGAATGTCCTTTACCTTACGCCAATAGATCTGCATGTCATGTGATGTCGCTAGGGAGTCACAAGCCATGAAAAGGTCTTGATGTTTAACGGGATTCCGGTTAGAGGTTAAGAACCCATTACTTTTCCAAGAAGGTAGATGACAAGTGAAACTGAGAAGCACGTAGCGTACTTCAATGTCGAAGCTCTGAAGAGCAAGCAGCCACGTGTGCGTTGGTCACCACACCATCTCTGATGAGTTGACTGTTAAGGAAGGTCACTGGCTGATGTTGAGTTTCAATGATGATCTTCTGTCCACCGATGTAGCTGGAAAAGTGTTTAACTGTCCACATGGTGGAAAGCAAAGCTTTTTCACAGCCAGAGGACTTTAACTCAGGACCGGACAAGAGCTTACTAGCATAGGCTACGACACGCCTGTCGCAGTCATACTTGATAGAGACCGGCACTCAAGCAGTTAGATGAGAACCCGACCTCAAGGTGGAACTCTTTGCCACAATCAGGAAGCGCCAGGCATGGAGCTGAGCATAACGCGGCCTTCAGGTCATCCATGGCCTATTGCTGCTGCCCAGTCCACTCGAAAGGCACACTCTTTTTCAGCAGGGCAGTCAGAGGTCTCGCCATCTCAGCGTAGCGTTCTACGAACTGGCGAGAGTAGTTGCACACACCTAGAAAACTCCGAAGTTCAGAGACATTCGTAGGAGATTTGACGGTAGCAACTCCTTGAATTCAGCCAAGTTGAAGCTGCACTCCCTGTGGTCCCACAAGGAGGCCAACAAACTGAACCTTTGACCTGCACCACAGACGAGAGAAATCTTTGCACCAGCAGCCGTGAGCTGACCCATGACGTGGTCCAGCTCGGAGAGGTGGTCATCCAAGGTACGCTTATGAACAAGAATGTCATTGAGATTGATGAGGGTACCGCTCTGCAGCGGCCTTTCTGCGTAGAGTTGCGTGTTCTCCCCATGCATGCGTGGGTTTCCTCCGGGTACTCCGGTTTCCCCCACAGATCACAACATGCCCTATAGGTTATAAATTGTAAGTCGCTTTGGATAAACGCGTCTGCTAAATGAATAAACATAAACATAAACCTTGCTCTCGAGCATCAGGGCAGGCTTTGTCCAAAAAGATGTTGAAATCAGCCAGTGAGTTGGAATAGCCAAAAGGACACCGAGTGAAGGTGTCATGGCGGTTGACGAAGGTGAAGGCTAATTTATGTGACAGTGTGAGCATCCCGTCACAGTGTCCCGATTGATCATGCGCCCTGGCTACTTGGCCAAGGGTTAGAGCGTATGACTCTCAACCGGGAGTCTGGGGATCGAATCCCGCCCGGGCCCTCGTTTATCCACCTTGCCACATTTATATTGGTCAGATTTATGGACAGCGACTGTCCAGAATCCAGACGCAATGTCAAGAGTGGAGAAGTACTTAGCATCTCTCACCTTCGGAAGTTCTTGTTTCAGGCACGTCATCGGCCACCTAGACAAAGGAACTTGTTGGTTGAGTTTCCTGTAGTCAATGGTCAGTCGCCACTTACCATTAGGCTTCTTTACCGGCCACAATGGAGCCGAGTAGGTGCTGTTGCAGGGTTGAATGATACCCTTCACCAAGAGGCTGTCAACCATTTCCTGGACCTGTCCATGGGACGCCAGGGGAATCTTGTATTGACGCACATAAGTCGGCGCTGCATGTGGCGGTGTAGGAATCCTGACCTCACGGATAGTGGTTAGCCCAAAGTCCAAGGAGTCGACTGAAAGAGAGTCCTTGTATTTTAACAGAAGCTGCTGTAGCTTGTCTCGCTCAACTTCATTGTCCACGACCTGTACAATGTGAGATAAAACATCAGAGTGCGGCTCTGATGGAAGCTGTGGTAGTGGTGGTGGAGGCTCTGAGCTCGGCAGGGAGCATGTGGTTTCCCCATGCTCAGTCTCCAACCGCAAAGCAGTGAAGGTCAAGGTCAGGAGGCAAAACAAAGGGCAGGGGGTCTTCAACACATGCCCAAAGTTCCCCCCATTCCAGATTGACAAAAGCTTCAAGGCGCTTCAAAAGGCCAACGCCAAGGATCAAAGGCATGGCACTGCGCTCACAGACGTACACGGGGTGTGTCAACATAGGACCGATCGTAAAGTGGAGAAGAGACGTGGATGACAAGATTGTTACAAGGAGAGAAAACACGGACAGCTGCTGCACAAGAAGTGAGTTCTGGAGGCCGAACTCCTCCCCCCGCAGCAAGGCAAAGGCGGTTGAAAATAGACTGGCACATGAGGGTGTAGCCAGTGTCCAGAAGAGCGTTGCAGGGGAGCACCTGTTCCAGTGTCTCAGACACCAGGGGCTCACCTGCTCTCTCGAGACAAGAGGTGTCCCAAGAACACTTTGGCGGATTCGACACCAGGGGTGTCAACTTCCTGTTTCAATCCTTCGTGGGCTAGCTCTGCCTCTTCTATCTGTCGCCTCCTCCCACCTCTGAAGTGGTTTTCTGCCCCTCAGCACCGTCTCTGTTCCTGTCTGCACTTACTCTTGAACAAGAGTTCAGATTTGCTCCTGGAAACCTGAAATGAGCCCGACAGAAACTCGAACATGAACAATGTGAAGGTTGTTCATGTATTCACAGAACAATTCACATTTATGTCTATATTTTCTTTTGCCATCATACCAATAAAACCCTTTAAGCTGCCTCAGATTAGAAGGTAGACGACAACGCCAGAGCAGAACAGCTCTTCTGTTCTCAAAACTGTTTTATTATGTTCCCAAATAAACTCCAGAAATAAAACCTTTGATATTTTTGGGGGGAAACAGAATCTGAACAGTTTTTGTATTTATCACATCAGCTGATGCTCGCCTAGATCCAGACTTCTGATCTCAGGTTAAAGGTCAGACAGAATCACGTCAGCCGGTCAGAGCTCAGAAACCTCAACATTTCATGTTTCAGTCGACATTTCTCACCCTGAAAAACTTACAGAATTAACAAAAGGATGAATAAGTTCATCTGCGAGCTGCAGGGTCGCCTTGCTGCAAGGTTTGTGGTTCAAATCCCACCAACAGACCTAAAGCATGCATGCTGGTGCTAGTTGTGTGTCCCTGTGATGAACTGGAGACCTGTCCAGGGTGTCCTTAGATGACTGCTGGACATCAGCTCCCAGCGACCCTGATAGCATAAGCAGTTCAGGTGATGGGGGGGTGGGTGGACCTCCACCACACCCCAGATTCTCCTCACACATAGAAACACTTGTGGTCCTTCAAGTTCCTCAGGTAGGAGAAGCTCTTCCCACATTTGTCACACATGTAGGGCTTCTCTCCGGTGTGGATCTGCTGGTGAGCCTTCAGGCTGTTGCCCTGGTTGAAGCGGCGCCCGCAGGTGTCGCAGCTGTATGGCTTCTCACCTGTGTGGATGCGCTTGTGTCTGCTCAGGTTGCCCGCATTGTTGAACCCTTTTCCACACGTGGGGCAGATGAACGGTTTCTCTCCGGTGTGGATCGCCTTTAGAGGAGAAGGTTGGAGGGAGAGCGTTAAAAAAAACCTGCATCAGGTAAGATAATAAAAAAATAAAAAATAAAAGACTGCTGCTTGCCTAGCTGTTAGCACATCAGTCCTGGAGGACAGAACTAACACAGCGATGACAGAAACTCACGCTAAGCACAAGTTTCCCATCTAGCCTGGGTTTGGAGCGCTGCTGGTCACCAGCACACAGGAACTGGCCTTACTGGAACTCCAGTAGAATGTGTAATATCTACAGACGTTAGCATCTGATGCTATTTCTGCTTGCTGGTGACCTAACTAATAACTCGCACTTGCTTTAAAACTTTTATCGGGGGAAAAAATTCTCCCAAATTAAATTTGATTGACTTTTTCTTCACACCAAACAACCTGCTGACGTCTGGTACGACCTCCTAAGCAGGTGGAAGCTGTAGGAGCTCCCGAATCCAGACGTCAGCCATATCCTGAACCCACCTGATGGGACTTCAGGCTGCTGTGCTGCGTGAACCTGTGACCACAGATGTCACAGCTGAATGGCTTCTCGCCGCTGTGCGACTTCAGGTGGACCTTCAGGTAGCTGGATGACGTGAAGCTTTTCCCACAGGTGCTGCAGCTGTGAGGCCGGTCCACCGAGTGGTGCTGCTGGTGCGCTTGCAGTTTGGTGATGGAGCTGAGCTGGACACCACAGGGCTCACATGTGCAGGGAATGTCCGCGTGTGTGTGGAGGTGTTTGCGTAAAGAATCCACACAAGGCATCACGATGCCACACGCCACGCAGGCCAGGGTGTCCTCCGAGTCAGTGGCCTCCTGGTGCATCATCAGGGAGCTGTCCTGGATGAAGCATTTGCCGCAGGTTTCACATCTGGAAGGACGAACTCCAGTGTGGATCCGCATGTGGCTTTTCAGGGTATTCGCCTGGTTGAAGCTTTTGCCGCACGTCTCGCACTTGTATGGCTTTTCACCCGTGTGTATGCGCAGGTGAACTTTCAGGGTATTCGCCAGGTTGAAGCTTTTGCCGCAGGTTTCACATCTGAAAGGACGAACTGCAGCGTGGATCTGCATGTGGCCTTTCAGGGCATTTCCCTGGTTGAAGCTTTTGCCGCACGTCTCGCATTTGTACGGCTTTTCACCCGTGTGGATCCGCACGTGAACTTTCAGGGTATCCGCCTGGTTGAAGCTTTTGCCGCACGTCTCGCACTTGTACGGCTTTTCACCCGTGTGAATGCGCAGGTGGCGCGACAGGTTACCTGGTATGCTGAAGCTTTTGCCGCACGTCTCGCACTTGTACGGCTTTTCACCCGAGTGTACGCGCAGGTGGCGCGACAGTTCACCTCGCGTGCTGAAGCTTTTGGTGCAGTATGGGCAGCAGTAGCCCCGCTCCCCAGTGTGGACCCGCTGGTGCAGTTTCAGGGCGTGTGCTCGGTGAAAACTCTTCCCACACTGATCACACTGAAACAAACGCACCCCGTCGTGGAGGTGCTGGTGGCTCCTCAAGAGACTCTTCAATGTGAAGCCCTTCCCACAAACGTCACAGACGTGAGGTCTTTCACCTGGAGATGGAACCAACAGAGACACCAGATAAATGGACGAACCCAGCTGTCGTTGGACACAAGAGCTAAAGCCTTGCCTGTGTGCAGCTTCATGTGGGTGTCGAGGCTGCGCTGCAACGAAAAGCCTCTCCCACACACGGAGCAGTGGAGGGATTTCTCTATGGTGGCTTCATGGACGGCCTTGTGGGCTTTGAGCTGCGGCAGACTGGTGAACGTTTTCTGGCAGAGCTTACAGCTCAGGTTCTGCTCCTTCTGACCCCGGCTTCCCGCTGTGACTCCAGCTTGAGACCTGGACTCTGTGGTGGTCGTCGAGTCACCATCACCTGGATCTGCTGGTTCCACCTGACAGAAATCAGAACGGTTGAGTTTCTAACAGATTTATTTCTTTACCTGTGGCAGCGATGAGCCAACAGTTATCTCACAGCTCAGGAGCAAGATGGCCGAAACCTTCCACCACAGCTTTCGCTCATCAGTCAAGAACTCCAAACCAAATCTGACTACTCGGTGATTACACACCATCGTCCCTGTTACGGCCGCCGCCGTTTTGGAGCCCAGTGGTGTGCTGCGCACCGTTCCCTGTACAGCAGCGCAGCACCACGGACAGCTACGCCTTGGGATGTTGTCCTTACTCCAGCACCATGGACAGCGCCGGAGCGGCAGGCACGGCCAGCTGGGACTTTTCACCTCATCAGCCGGCCCTTCAAAAGCGGCCAGCTAGAGCTCATCAGGGGAGAGAAATGTTTGTGGTTGCAGAGGCAACGTGTGTTCTCTCCCCGTTGGCGGTTACCAGAGATTTTGTGGTTAATACCAGGTTGTGGTTTGCTTCTTGTGAAGAAGCAGCTTTAGAACCTTTTGTGTTTGGGATATTCCCAGTTAAGCGGTAGTTTTGGTTTCGGTGTGTCTGCTAGACCACCTTGTGGGTAAATTACCAGGTGGGGGTTTTCCCCTTTTGCGTTTCATTCCCTTTTTAAATAAAGGAGATTTATTTAGGATTTAGAGTGGTTGGTCCTCTGGACGTTTTCAGTTACTTAAGGTTAACTTAGTTTGGATAATTTCTAGGTAAGGTTTTTTTTCTGGCCCTTCTTTTGGTTCCTCTTTTTGTTGTTGTAATAAAACCTTTGAAAACACAACCACACTTTGAGTTTGGTTTTGCTTGGTCAAGCCTTTTTCTCCCCAACGAGGGTCACTTTTTGTTATTCTGGTCCATCTTATGTTTATTCCCCTCACCTTCCTAACCGAGCCCACAGAGGGGTGTAACAGTCCCTAAACGCAGGCACCAAAAGAGAAAGACGTCTAAAGCAGCAAAACTAAGTAGTTGATGTGAAACTTTCTGTCTGTTAATAAACTTAGTCAGTGTAAATACAGTGGGGAAAAAAGTATTTAGTCAGCCACCGATTGTGCAAGTTCTCCCACTTAAAATGATGACAGAGGTCAGTAATTTACATCATAGGTACACTTCAACTGTGAGAGACAGAATGTGAAAAAAAAATCCATGAATTCACATGGCAGGATTTTTAAAGAATTTATTTGTAAATCAGGGTGGAAAATAAGTATTTGGTCAATAACAAAAATTCAACTCAGTACTTTGTAACATAACCTTTGTTGGCAATAACAGAGGTCAAACGATTACTATAGGTCTTTACCAGGTTTGCACACACACTAGCTGGTATTTTGGCCCATTCCTCCATGCAGATCTTCTCGAGAGCAGTGATGTTTTGGGGCTGTCGCCGAGCAACACGGACTTTCAACTCCCTCCACAGATTTTCTATGGGGTTGAGGTCTGGAGACTGGCTAGGCCACTCCAGGACTTTCAAATGCTCCTTATGGAGCCACTCCTTTGTTGCCCGGGCGGTGTGTTTGGGATCATTGTCGTGTTGGAAGACCCAGCCACGTTTCATCTTCAAAGCTCTCACTGATGGATGGAGGTTTTGGCTCAGAATCTCACGATCCATGGCCCCATTCATTCTGTCCTTAACACGGATCAGTCGTCCTGTCCCCTTAGCAGAAAAACAGCCCCAAAGCATGATGTTCCCACCCCCATGCTTCACAGTAGGTATGGTGTTCTTGGGATGCAACTCAGTATTCTTCTTCCTCCAAACACGACGAGTTGAGTTTATACCAAAAAGTTCTGCTTTGGTTTCATCTGACCACATGACATTCTCCCAATCCTCTGCTGTATCATCCATGTGCTCTCTGGCAAACTTCAGACGGGCCTGGACATGCACTGGCTTCAGCAGCGGAACACGTCTGGCACTGCAGGATCTGATTCCCTGCTGTTGTAGTGTGTTACTGATGGTGACCTTTGTTACTGTGGTCCCAGCTCTCTGCAGGTCATTCACCAGGTCCCCCGTGTGGTTCTGGGATTCTTGCTCACCGTTCTCATGATCATTTTGACCCCACGGAGTGAGATCTTGTGTGGAGCCCCAGATCGAGGGAGATTATCAGTGGTCTTGTACGTCTTCCATTTTCTGATAATTGCTCCCACAGTTGATTTTTTAACACCAAGCTGCTTGCCTATTGTAGATTCACTCTTCCCAGTCTGGTGCAGGTCTACAATTCTTTTCCTGGTGTCCTTCGAAAGCTCTTTGGTCTTGGCCATAGTGGAGTTTGGAGTCTGACTGTTTGAGGCTGTGGACAGGTGTCTTTTATACAGATAATGAGTTCAAACAGGTGCCATTAATACAGGTAATGAGTGGAGGACAGAAAAGCTTCTTAAAGAAGACGTTACAGGTCTGTGAGAGCCAGAGATTTTCCTTGTTTGAAGTGACCAAATACTTGTGGGAGAACTTGCACAATCGGTGGCTGACTAAATACTTTTTTGCCCCACTGTATCTTAAATACCAAAGTCATTCAGTTATTTCACTTGTAAAAACTAATTCATTATTTTGGTTTCTAGAATGCAAACAGATGTTTTGGCCATCTAAAGCAGATGTTTCACAACCTTTTCTGACTCGTGGACCCCCTGAGCCGTTTTCTCGTACCACAACTACCCCCTTAGTCAAACGTGTCGGCGATTCCCCAAAAGCAGAACGTACAACTGATCATAACATGAAAATAATTTCATTTAATCTCCTTCACACTGAACCACGTCTCACTTCCTGTCTGGCTCAGGTGATTCTTTAACAATCCTCATGCAGGGTCGAGACTCCACGTGGAAACTTTCTGGAGCTCTGCATCTGCACCACAGCTTGAGAAAATGATCTGACTGGACTCAATGATCTCTGATCCATGTGAAACTGGACTGAGGCTTCTGGTCCTCTCACAGTAGCAGCTGCAGCCCTGCTCTGGTCTTTCCTTCAGTGTTTCTTAACCCATCTCCTCACGCTTAGACTACTGTAACTCTCTTTTCACGTGTCTGAGCAGAACCTCCCTGAACCGTCTACAGGTGGTTCAGAACGCCTGTGCTCGGCTTCTGACCAAGTCCTCCAAACACACCCACATCACCCCGCTTCTCCTCCAGCTTCACTGGCTGCCAGTCAACTTCAGAGTTCATTACAAGATCCTGGTTCTGGTCTATAGGGCCTTACATGGACAAGCACCATCTTACACTGGTGATCTTCTTAGTCCCTACACCCCCAGCAGGTCCCTGAGGTCCAGTGATCAAAGCCTACTGGTTGTGCAGCACCAGGCTAAAGGTCAAAGGTGACAGATCATCTGCTGCTGTGGCCCCCAGACTCTGGACCTCTCTCCCCCTGAGCCTGAGATCAGTGGACTCAGTGGTCTCCTTTAAAAAGCAGCTGAAGACTCACTTGTTCAAGCTGGCTTTTGTATGACCTTCTTCACCTCTCTCTCTTTATTCTGCTCTCCCCACCTATTCCACCTTCCTCAGGATCCACTGATTTCCCTCTTTCCTGTTCACTCTCTCTCTTTATTAACATTATTAATCACAATTGTCTATTTTTGCTCATTTTAAATATATTTTTAAACATTTTCTAAATTATTTTTTATAATTTTACATTTTTTGTTTTTGTGAAGCGCCTCGTGGTTTTTATCTTGAGAGGCGCTATAGAAATGATATTTTCTGCCTTTTCTTCTGTTCCTGAGAAGACAATGTAGACATGTACATACTGTACATATTTTTCGTTCTTCCAGGGACCCGTGAGTCAGTCCCTATATGATAATATCAACCATATATAACTGTGCATTACTTCGAGTATTAGTAAGAATAACACATCCAAACCCAATGTTTTGTTTATTTTACCAGGGAGAGTGCTGTCATCCTCTGGGTGATGAAACATTCATTCTTCTGTGTACCTTCTGTAATGCGCTCACGGACCACTAGGGGTACACGTACCTCTATTGGGAACCACTGATCTAAAGCCCAGTTCATGCTTCTGCGTTTGCGTCGGTACAGAGACACGCAACGCCATTATACGTCTTTGTGAGCCAGCCTGAGAGCCCTCGCGAGGACGAACGGAGTCGAGCCCACTTTTCTAAACATCCATTGAACGAGACGGAGAATGCAAGCTTGTGATTGGTCAGGACAGCCCTTTTGTCAACAGCACCGCCATTGCGCCCTCAAAAACAGATATCTAGTGGCAGACGGAGCAGCTTGATGAATACCTCGTGGAAAAACTCTAAAATGAGAACGTTCATTCACCCGTGACTGAAGAAGTAAAAAGATACGCAGCAAGCGTTTTTATTTGTGGACGGAAATGACGAGAAACGTGGATTTGGAGGTGGCGAGTGCATGAAGAGGTGGTGGAGGATGAGGGACAAATTTGTTTGTGTTAAAGTCTCTGAAATACATAAACACAATATCTTGGATCCATGACAGGATACCACAGAACAGCGCTACGCCCTCTGCTGTCCTGGCAGGGAACTGCTTCACAACACTCCCCAGGAGACGGAGAAGGCTGAAGGCTTCCACCAATCCGTGCGTCTCTCCCTCGTGGAGCTGACGCAGAAGCATGAGCCAGGCCTAAATATTAAAATAATTTAACAAGAGGATAATAACGAAACTCCTCCTTGAACCGTCACCTTATCGTGGTGGAGGAGTTTGAGTGCCCTAATGATCCTAGGAGCTATGTTGCCTGGGGCACTTAGTGCCCCTGGTAGGGTCTCCCATGACAAATTGGTCTTAGGTGAAGGGTGAGACAAAGAACGGTTCGAAGGATCTTTCATGGCGGTGAAAACGAAGAGTCGGAGTACCCGGCCCGGAGGGTTACCGGGGTCCCACCCTGGAGCCAGGCCTGGGGTTGGGGCCCGTGAGCGAGCGCCTGGTGGCCGGGCTTTCGCCCATGGGGCCCGGCCGGGCCCAGCCCGAACCGGATACATGGGCTCGTCCAACTGTGGACCCACCACCCGCAGGAGGAACATGAAGGGTCCGGTGCAATGTGAATCGGGTGGCAGACCAAGGCGGGAGCCTTGGCGGTCCAATCCCCGGACAAGGAAACTAGTTTTTGGGACATGGAACGTCACCTCGCTGGCGGGGAAGGAGCCGGAGCTTGTGGCAGAGGTTGAGCGGTACCGGCTAGATATAGTCGGACTCACCTCGACACATTGCATTGGCTCTGGAACCCAAGACCTGGAGAGGGGTTGGACACTCTACTTTGCTGGAGTTGCTCCGGGTGAGAGGCGGAGGGCTGGGGTTGGCTTTTTGTTAGCCCCGAGACTCTCTGCCTGTGTGTTGGGGTTTACCCCGGGGGACAAGAAGGTAGCTTCCTTGCGCCTTCGGGTCGGGGAACGGGTCCTGACTGTTGTTTGTGCTTATGGGCCAAATATCAGTTCAGAGTACCCACCCTTTTTGGAGTCCCTGGGACGAGTGCTAGATAGTGCTCCATCAGGGGACTCCATTGTCCTGCTGGGGGACTTCAATGCTCACGTGGGCAATGACAGCTTGACCTGGAGGGGTGTGATTGGGAGGAACGGCCCACCTAATCAGAACTCGAGCGGTGTTTTGTTATTGGACTTCTGTGCAAGCCGCAGTTTGGCCATAACGAACACCATGTTCGAACATAAGGATGCCCACCGGTACACTTGGTACCAGGGCAGCCTAGGTCACAGGTCGATGATAGATTTTGTAGTCGTATCATCTGACCTGCGACCGTATGTTTTGGACACCCGAGTGAAGAGAGGGGCGGAGCTGTCAACTGATCACCACCTGGTGGTGAGTTGGATCAGATGGCAAGGGAACATGCCGCGTAGACCTGGCAGACCCAAACGCATAGTGAGGGTCTGTTGGGAACGCCTGGCAGAAGAACCTGTTAAGACGGTCTTCAACTCCCACCTCCGGCAGAGCTTTGACCACGTCCCGAGAGCAGTGGGGGACATTGAGTCCGAGTGGGCCTTGTTCCACTCTGCGATTGTCGAGGCGGCTGTTGCTAGCTGTGGTCGTAAGGTGGCCGGTGCCAGTCGTGGTGGCAACCCCCGTACCCGCTGGTGGACACCAGAGGTTCGGGGAGCCGTCAGGCTGAAGAAGGAGGCCTACAGGGCGTGGCTGGTCTGTGGGTCTCCGGAGGCAGCAGACAGGTACCGGATAACCAAGCGGGGTGCAGCAGTGGCAGTTGCCGAGGCAAAATCTCGGGCGTGGGAGGAGTTTGGTGAGGCCATGGAGAAAGACTATTGATCGGCTCCAAAGAGGTTCTGGCAAACTGTCCGGCGCCTCAGGAGAGGAAGGCAGCAACTCGCTCACACTGTTTACAGTGGGGATGGGGAGCTGCTGACGTCAACTGAGGCTATAGTCGGACGGTGGAAGGAATACTTTGAGGAGCTCCTCAATCCCACCAATGCGCATTCCGAGGAGGAACCAGAGCTGGGAGGCCTGGGGATGGACTGTCCGATCTCAGGGGCAGAAGTTGCTGAGGTAGTCAAACAACTACACAGCGGCGGAGCCCCGGGGGCGGATGAGGTTCGTCCTGGGTATCTCAAGGCTATGGATGTTGTAGGGCTGTCATGGTTGACACGTCTCTACAACATTGCGTGGTCATCGGGGGCAGTTCCTAGGGAGTGGCAGACCGGGGTGGTGGTCCCCATCTTTAAGAAGGGTGACCTGAGGGTGTGTTCCAACTATAGGGGGATCACACTCCTCAGCCTCCCTGGAAAGGTCTACGCCAAGGTACTGGAGAGGAGGGTCCGATCGATAGTTGAATCTCAGATAGAGGAGGAGCAATGTGGTTTTCGTCCTGGCCGTGGAACTGTGGACCAGCTCTATACCCTTGCAAGGGTGATGGAGGGGGCATGGGAGTTTGCCCAACCAATCCACATGTGCTTTGTGGATTTGGAGAAGGCTTATGACCGTGTCCCCAGGGGCACCCTGTGGGGGACGCTCCAGGAGTATGGGGTGGGTGGCTTTCTGTTAAGGGCCATTCAGTCCCTTTACCAGAGGAGCGTGAGTTTGGTCCGCATAGCCGGTAGTAAGTCGGACCTGTTCCCAGTGAGGGTTGGACTCCGCCAGGGCTGCCCTTTGTCACCGGTTCTGTTCATCACATTTATGGACAGAATTTCTAGACGCAGCCGTGGTGTGGAGTGTGTCGAGTTTGGTGGCAGGAGAATCTCGTCTCTGCTTTTTGCGGATGATGTGGTCCTCCTAGCTTCATCCAGCTCTGACCTTCAGCTCTTGCTGGGTAGGTTCGCGGCCGAATGTGAAGCGGCTGGGATGAGGATCAGCACCTCCAAATCTGAGACCATGGTTCTCGACCGGAAAAGGGTGGCTTGCCACCTCCGGGTCGGGGGAGAGGTCCTACCTCAAGTGGAGGAGTTTAAGTATCTTGGGGTCTTGTTCACGAGTGAGGGTAGGAGGGATCGGGAGATCGACAGGCGGATTGGTTCGGCGTCTGCAGTGATGCGGACGCTGAGCCGATCTGTCGTGGGGAAGAGGGAGCTGAGCCAGAAAGCCAGGCTCTCGATTTACCGGTCGATCTACGTCCCAATCCTCACCTATGGTCATGAGCTTTGGGTAATGACCGAAAGAACGAGATCGCGGATACAAGCGGCCGAAATGAGTTTCCTCCGTAGGGTGGCCGGGCTCAGCCTTAGAGATAGGGTGAGGAGCTCGGACATTCGGGAGGGACTCGGAGTAGAACCGCTGCTCCTCCGGATCGAAAGGAGCCAGTTGAGGTGGTTTGGGCATCTGGTCAGGATGCCTCCTGGACGCCTCCCTGGGGAGGTGTTTCGGGCATGTCCTGCCGGCAGAAGGCCCCCGGGTCGACCCAGGACACGTTGGAGAAGTTACATCTCCAATCTGGTCCGGGAACGCCTTGGGGTCCTGCCGGAGGAGCTGGTGGACAAGGCCGGGGAGAGGACGGCCTGGAGCTCCCTAGTTGGGATGCTGCCCCCGCGACCCGGACCCGGATAAGCGGAGGAAGACGAGACGAGAGACGATAATAACGAAAACTTACCTGGTAGTCAGGATCATCATCATCATCATCAGGGGTGGGGTCATTGCCAGATGCAACCGCTGTCTGATTGGCTGCGACATCAAGCCCCTCCTCTTTCACTAAAATGATCTGGGGGCTGTCCTGAGAAGGAACATGGAGACAACTTCAACTGGAATCATGAATCAGCGGAACGCTTCTGTTTCCTTCTTTAAACGCACCAATTCTAGAAGTTTCAGGATTCAAGATCATGTATGGCCGCTGCACAGGCTTACGACACGGACTTTTAAGGGGAGAAAAAAGTGTGTATCTAAATTTGTGTGTGTGTGTGTGTGTAACTTCAGTTCTTACACATACAAATCATTGAATACACACACACACACATACACACACACACACACACACAGTTTAAGGTGCAAACAAGTAACAGTATAATGATGAAGTTAGACGTGACTAAACTAACTAGCTTTACCTCGTAACTTCTGCCTTCACACAGCTGAATTATGGGTAACCGCTTCACTCCCGCTTCATCTGAGACCACAACTGTTTAAAAACAAAGATGTTCATCACTTTTAGTCTCCGTCAGTTGATTTAACAGAAACGAAGACATAATTTAAAACGGAGCGGTTTGAATCATCTCTGGGTTAGAGTGGCAGAACACGTGTGTGTGTGTGTGTGTGTGTGTGAAATTAAAGGTGTGGAACACTCGTTTAATCGTCTGCAGCAGCGTCTAGCAGGAATGAATGCCTTGTAAGTCGTACAGTAGGGAAAAAGCCCAGAAGCGCCTGGATCAGCACGCAGAAGTCTGGAGGAGAAGGGAGCTTCAGACGACAGGATGTGGAGTCCTACTTCCTGATACCGGGACATCTCTCCTCTGTGTAGCGTACCAAAGGTCAAGTTTTCATCAACATGAACAGCAATTAACTGATAATTTGCAGGTCTCCCCCTGAGCCTGAGATCAGTGGACTCAGTGGTCTCCTTTAAACTCGCCTGTTCAGGCGTTGGTGGTGTTGCCAGTCCCCACATACCAAAGATGTTGGCAAGCTGAAACACTGAACTGGCTTGTGCAAGCAAAATCAGCCAGCCGACAGGAGCTGGGCGACAGGTCAAGAAACTGTGGTCAGAAACAAGGGTCACAGAAGGGTCACGGACAAGAGGACAGAACTAGGCAAAAGGTCAAGAGGCAGGCTGGTTTCTCTGGTTCCACCCCTGGTTCCACCCCTCGCCCCAGCCCTGGATCCACCTCTGGCGGGAAAAGAAGGACTGGACTGGAGTGAGGACAGCCCGTTTGGACCAGAAGTCCTCAGGAATGCTGAAGGAAGACCTACAATTTGCTACCAACATGAAGATTTATGACCTGTGCTCTCATAAGGAATGCAACATGTAACTTTTGTGCCCTCATGTGAATACTGCATGAAGTGATAATGACACCAAAATGTTTTGTGTAGAGCTAAAAAAGTGTATTTGGTAAATGACCTCTTGACCTAAACTGTCAGGAGAGAATGATATGTGACTCTTACATTGTGTAAAGCAGTCTCAGGAATGATATAAAAGGGATGCAGCTCAGATCGGAGAGAGAGAGCTGGGGCAGACGACAAGAAGAGACAGAGCAGATTTGGAGGGGTCATCCCCCGTCCTGCTGGATGGGGGACGACAGGCAGTTTTTTGGAGAGAAGCAGAGCTTAGACAAGTTTTTGGTAAGAGTTTGGGGAGATTCTCAGAAGATATGAGCTGGTGTAAACTAACTCTCTTATTTAATCATTTTGAACTAATTCCTCCTTGGGGGATAGCGGTTGTTTTTATATTTACTCATTTTTGTATTTTTCTATTTTGTAATAAACTTTTTTGGAAAAGAAACATAATCCTGATTATTTCAGGTTTTCTCTAAAGCTTCACGAGTGGGGGCCCTGACCATTAATTGCACAGAGGTAAGCACATTAATTATGGGTTCTTGAATTATCAGGACTTACTTTACGGTTTGTGACAGATTAATATAAAGAAACCTTAAGATAACGGGATTGCTTAAAAAGAAGTGAGCTACTACAGAAGGAAAAGTCTTGCATATCATTTCACCTTTAAAATAAAAGATACGATTCTAATTAGGAGGTCCAAACCCGGGTCTGATACGATAAAACTCGCCGACACCCCCACAAGAACCCTGATAGATGCATTGTCTCATAAGTTCTAACGGAACCGGTAAATGGGACGTGCACGCGACAGTGGGACCTCCTTGTTCTGCTCTTATTCCGCCTTTACCGGGATCCACTGATTTCCCTCTCTCCTATTCATGTTCTCTCTCCCTTTCCTTACATTTTTTAAAATCAAAATTTGTGTTTTTCTCATTAAAACGTTATTTTAATCATTTGTAAAAAAAAATTATACTTTTGTTTTCGTGAAGCGCCTTGTGATTTTCATCTAGAGAGGCGCTTTATAAAAGATTGTCTTCTTTCTTTCTGTTTGCTCTACAAAGTTGATGCTTTATCTCCACAAATAACACAAGCCTGGAGGAGTTCTGCTGTGTGGGGGAGTTGCTAATGCTAACAGTTAGCTACTACTAATCGAGATGTTTTCTGCTGATAGGTGGAGGAGACTATTTTCATGTTCAGCCTGCTCAGAGTGACATTATAATCAGAACCAATCATTAAAAATGGTTTCTCAGTGTTTCACACCTTTAGGAGACATTTGGCCGTCCAGTTAAGAATACATAGAATTGATTTTTGGTTTGTTTCATCAAATCAATAAAAACACAAGAATCAAAGCATTAGAGAATGAAAAAAGCATCTAACCTAACTGTCTCACAGATTCTTCCTCTTCTCTGCTGATCGGACAGCTCCTCTCCTCAGCACCTCCTACCTCCACCACCTCCTGGACTCCTCCTGGAGCCTCCAGCATCAGCTTCAGCTCCGTCTCCATCAGCATTCTCCTCAGGGATGTGATCTCAGTCGTCCCACGTGACACCTGCAACACATGCACCCAGATTCTGGACTTCAGCAATTGAAAGAATTCAGCCAAGATCGGGAATGATGAAGCTGGTCTCGTACTTCCAGCTTCAGAGCCGACAAACTCTCCTCCAACTGCTGACAGATGTTCTTCACCACTCCCTGTGCCAAAGACACCATGAAGGTGCTGAACTCTGCCACCTGAGGAAGAAAATACAAACGTGTCAGATATGAAATCACAATGTTTAAATAAAAACACAATATTCTAATGACTTCAGGCTTCACTTGATAAATGTTATTATGGAGCTAAAATGTGACGTTCTTTTAAACTTAAAGCTCCATCACTGGTCATCATCACACAGATGAAACTCGTCTCCAAAAACAAAATAAAAACTGAGACTTTAGACATTTGGATCAATCATAAAAACCACATTTCTTAAAGGAAAAGGATGAATTAGTTACAGTTAGCTAATTTTTATGAGTGATATCAGATCTTCCATGTTGTGTACACAGATCGCTTCCGAACAAAACCGGATCCATCTGGAACCTTCCGGTTCCACTTCAGACAAATACCACCGCAGCTGCTGTTCACATAGATTTGTAAATAAACACATACATATAAATGTTTGTATATGTTGTTCACTCGTAAATCACGCGCAGCTGAACTAGCGGAAGTAAACAGAAAGCAGCTAGCTATCGGCTCTATTTCTACAGTCAGATGTTTTCTCCATGACCCAAGAAGGGAAACCAGCACCAGGAAGGACCACAGCACGGATAACAACCTACCTTCTCGTCTAGAGACTTGTGTTCGTTCTCGGTACCACCCGGAGTGCCCTCAACTTGATCTAATCCAGAACCGCGGATAAGATTAGACACTTCGGACACACTTTTGGAGACCATGATGTCCAAAATAGAGCAAACCATTATCTCCAGTTCCGACATGCTGGTTAATGGAAGAACCTGTTCGGATCTTCAAAAAACTTCAACAGTGTTATTTTATCGTCATTCGTGGAAGCCTGAGATTCCCGTTTTATCTACTTCCGGTTCATGCCTTAGGTGGTCAGATCCCTCCAGGTAACTTCACAAACTGCGAATTTAGGAAGCACTTTCTTCAGGCGCGCTTTGTTGAAGTCTCCGGCAGCAATAAAGACCCCTTTGGGGTGTGCGAGCTGTAGTTCATTTATGGTGTTGATGGGCAACAGGCTTTGCGCCGTATCTACGTTAGCATCCGGCAGCTAACACAATCACCACAGTAAACTGCCTCGGGAGATAAAAGGTCAGCACGAGACCGCCAGAACCTCTACATCGGGAGAGCAGTGTGTGTGGATGACCCTGCTGTTGCAACACCATCCGTTATTCACGTAAATACAGAGCCCTCCACCTCTGCGCTTACCTGACGCGATGGTGCGGTCGTGCCGGTGTAGCGCGCGACCTGCTAGCTCGACTGCAGCGTCGGGAATCAGCGAGTGTCGCCACGACTCCGTGATCAAAATAATGCTGCAGTTCCTTGCAAAGTTTGTGCTCGCTCTCTGTAGCTCCACTTCGTCCATTTTGTGGATGATGATGTTGATGATGCCCTCTAGCGGCCACAGACGCAAATACATAATTTATCTTCTATTATTGACAGTGGAACTTTATTTTCTTGTTGATATATTTAAAATAAAAAATAAACGTGAGTGTGTGTTATTACTCCAAAAAATCTCCTAATATAAGAACAAAACTAACGGTACTCAATCAAACTTTATTCTTAAAGCGCTTTTCCTACAAAAAGTGCAACTCAAAGTGGTTTACAGATTAAAATGTTGAAATAAAACTGAAAAATATTGACAAATGGAACTACTCTATATTAAAACAGAAAAATAAACCCTAAAGACAATTACACTACTGTAAAAACCACAGTAAAAGGCAGAAGTGTGGGCTTGAGTCACATTGGACTCGAGTCAGATGTGAGTCATTAAATTGATGACTAGAACTGACTTGAAAAAAAAATGTTTAAATACTTGAACTTGAATTGGACTTGCACACCAGTGATGCAGGCTTTGACTTGACTTGAACATGTTTATGTATGTAGCCTAATTTTAAACATCTGTTATTTCAAAATTGCCCACTTTTAAGCCACTGGACCAATCATAGCACTCTATGGGTTTGAAACCCCTATAAGGAGCTGTGATTGGCCAGCCAGAATGCTGCTAGTGGCTGTGGCGGTTCCCATGGAGCATTCCTAGACCAAACTTTGCAAGACGAGAATTTGGTCTAGTTCACTAGGCTAACCAAAACCCTCAGTCTCTAAACAGCACTGCAGCTGACGACTCCCAAGAGTAATTTCTTTCAGCTACATAAACTATGTTGACAAAAATATAATTATAGGACCTCTGGAAATAAACTCTGTTTACTTGTTGAGAACGTGGAGGGATATCCAGTACATGCTGAATCAAAAGCAGACATGGGTCATATCGGCATTAGTCTCACCAGTTGAAGGGAGAAATGCTGAAAAATGTAAAGAGGCACACTCATTACAAGCTCATGCCCAGCCCCGATGCGTTACCGCAGGTAAAACAGGTGTTTTGGTAAGATCACCAAGCTGGCGTGAATACTGTGAGCTCACATCCCCACCTCTAATTTACCACTTGATGTGAATGGTGTGTAAATGTTTGTCTCTGTGTGTCCCTGAGATGGCTGGAGACCTTCCCAGTTGTAGCCCCGCCCCTCCCCTGGTGATGCTGGTGGTAAACACCATCAAAATATATACTGGACAATTCATGGGGGGTCGACCAAGATGGCGCTCTGAGTGGGCGTGCTTCGCTGAGCTCCGCAAACCGAACTGTTCTCTATATAGTTAGAGTGAACAAACTGAACGTTCGCCTTTAGTTATCTGTCGCGTCTGCTTGGCTGCACTATGGCTACGTCTGCTGGTAAGATGAAACCTCAGGAGAAGAGGAAGAGCGACGTAAAAAAGGAGCTGATCAGCACGTGCTCTACCAACAAGGCTGCTATGCTAGCTCCCGCTGAGCTGCCGGAGACCAACAACATGCTAATTGACAATATGCACGACTATCTCGAGTCAGATGCGGATCCACCGAAGGTCTCGTTACTGGAAGATAGTTTTCCGCCTCTCCCTGTCACCCCGGTCAACTCACCTGCACCTAAATGGAGAGGAGTGGAAGACTCGACAACTGATGCAATCCTCTCCCAGCTTTCCTCCCTCACACAGCTGATAAACAAGATGCATTGGAAAAGTTGGTGTGACAACTCCGCAGTGATTGCAGAGGTGAAGCTGGCAGTCACAGAAAACACCAAGCAAATTGCAGATGTTAAAGAATTCTTTAATGCTGTTTGTGTTGAAGTAAAAGAAGTAAAAGGGAGAGTTGACCGCTGCGAAACTCTGTTTAAAGATTGCAAAGTTAATTCTGATAAGACAGCAGCGTGTCTCTCAGCTCAAGGCTTACTCCCAACGCTGGAATCTCAAGCTCCACGGCTTAGAAGAGAAAGATCAGCAGGATCTACGAGAGATTATTCACATATGCCAGGGTCTGCTCCCTGAGGCCAAAACCAAGCTTCCGGATGCCATCGATGTATGTTCACCGCCTTGGCCCTAGGAAGCCCGGTGCTAATCAACCAAGAGGAGTCGTCATACGTTTTATCTCCAGGTACTACCGTGATGCTGTGTGGCGCTCCGCCAAAAACTCCACTTTCCTGAAGAGCAAGAGCTTGAAACTGGCGGAGGACTTGTCAGAAGAGGACAGAGAAAAGGAAGAAGCTGTGGCCCGTTGTTGACCAGGCGCGGAAAGATGGCAAGCTGGCTTTCTATGTAGGCGGTCGCGCCTTTGTGGGTGGAAAGGAAATTCTTCCTCCCTGAGACGCTGAATAGACTTTCCTAGCTAAGCGACATTTTTGTAATGTTTACAGCCTGTTTGAATTTGGTAGCACATGTTCACAATCTTTTATAAGGTTTGCTGTTCTCAGACCCATGTTGGTGCTTTGTTGAGACCTTTATCTATTTTCGCATACGTGCTAGTTTTTCTGGTCTTGTTATTGTACTTTGTTCATTTTCCTTATGTCTTTGTCTATTATCTCTTTAAACACAAGAGGTTTGATAAACCATCTAAAACGAAAAGCTATATTCTTATACTGCAAACAACTTAATCCTGACTTTTGTTTTGTACAGGAAACACATTCAATTGAACAGGACACCAACTTCTGGAAATCACAGTGGGGGGGGGGGGGGGGGACCTGTGGCTGTCTCATGGGTCAGAGCATTCAGCCGATGTTTGTATTTTGAAAAACCGCTTTAGTGGAAAAGTTTTAAATTCTGAACGTGACAAAACCGGTCGTTACATATTGCTAGTCCTAGAGGTTGCCGGTGTAAGTTATATTATAGTTAATGCTTATGGCTTCAATTCGCAAGCAGAGAACATTTTTTTTGATAATTTGGAAGAACGTCTCCTTTACTGGTTATCTAAATACCCGAAAGCTTCTATGGTTTTAGGCGGGGATTTTAATTCTGTGTTAAGTAATCGCCTGGATAGGCTGCCTTCAAGGAATGAAGACTCCTCTAATATGTATGTGAAGACGTTCTTACAAAGCTTTGATTTATCTGATACATGGAGAGATACTCACCCGCTACAGAAATCATATACATGGAGCAACAAAACTTTATCAAAGCAGTCTCGCATTGATCTCTGGCTTATATCCAAGGATTTGATTACAAATATTTTACCAGCAGCCCTATCTGATCATAAGACTATTCAAACTATCATTCCTTCTCTTTCTCCTGGTCCTCCTAAAACCTCTAACTGGAAATTAAACAGTACAGTCCTTAAACACAAGGAAGTGACCTCTAAGATTGACAGTTTCATTCGACTATATTGGGACAAAGCTCAAAATGAAAATCTCTTTAGCACTAACTGGGAGTTATTGAAGTACGAAATTGTGAAATTCCTTAGAAAATATAGTAGTGATTTAGCTAAAAAAAAGGAGATTAGAGGAAAACGACACTATACTTAAAATTGCATTCCTAACTTCTAAGTCATTAGATGCACTCACTGAGTCAGAACAGTTGGAGCTTACCAATCAGCAGCTCAAGTTAGATGAGATATATAAACGAAAAGCGCAAGGTGCCTTTGTTAGATCTCGCCGCAAGTGGCTCGAAGAGGGCGAGCAGAACTCTGCATAGTTCTTTAGCCTAGAAAAGCAGCAATCTAAAATTAACTCCATTCAGCAATTAAGAATTGATGGAACAATCATTGATGACCCAAAGGAAATTTCTCAGTATTGCGCCAAGTTTTATAGTGATCTTTACAGCTCAAGATATTGCTCTCAAGAAGCTTCTACCTTTTTCAATTCTATCCCTAATATTAATCAGATTTCTGAAGCTGACTCTGATTTTTGTGATGCCTCTATTTCACTGAAAGAAATTACTAATGCTATTAACCAGCTAAAAACAAACAAATCACCCGGAACGGATGGCTTTACTGCAGAATTTTACAAGCAATTTTCTCAGAGCCTAGCTCCATTGTTAAAGGAAGTTTTTGCTGAGAGTGTTTTCAAAGGCTCCTTACCTCCTACATTAACTCAAGGATTAATTGCTCTCATTCCTAAACCAAAGAAAGACTGCCTCCTACTGGACAACTGGCGACCTATTTCTTTACTGAACAATGACTATAAGATCTTTGCGACGATACTTGCTAAGAGGCTGAAATCAGTGCTTGACTCTATTATTGATGAAAGTCAGTCTGGGTTTATGCGTAATAGACATATTTCAAATAATGTTAGATTGATATTAGATTTATTAGATTATTCTGAGTTAGTTCATGACGATAGCTTCGTCCTTTTCTTGGACCTCTATAAGGCCTTTGACTCCCTGGAGCATGATTTTATAATGGAAGCCCTAAAAAAGTTTGGTTTTGGTCAGTTCTTTTGTAAATCTGTCCAAACTTTGTACAATAATGGAAATAGTTCTATCAAATTAAGCAATGGCACATCCCCAAGGTTTGATTTAAAGCGGGGAGTACGGCAAGGGTCTCAAGACTTGAGACTTGACTCACACTTGACAGCATTTTACTTGAGACTTGTGCGACAGTGTGAGCGTCCTGTCACAGTGTCCCGATTGATCATGCGCTCTGGCTACTTGGCCAAGGGGATGTCCCTTTGGCTGACTGGTTAGAGCGTATGACTCTCACCCGGGAGTCTGGGGATCGAATCCCGCCCGGGCCCTCGTTTATCCACCTTGCCACACTTGCAAAACAATGACTTGATACGGTGACGTCACATTACACAGGATTTAATAACCACTTGTGTTTTTGTTCTGGCTTAAAAAACATGAAATATTTCAAATCTCAACATAAGACTAAAAAGAGGACTCGTTTTCAACCTTGCAGCTGACCAGATGTTTTCAGGACATTTTGATCGGGCTCCCCCAACATTTTCTCACTACAGTTATGTTTCTTGAGCAGCCTGGAGTCTGAGAATCGGAGCCCACAGCTGCTACAGGAGTACGGCCTTTCTCCTGTGTGGACCTGCATGTGGAACTTGACGTGTGCAAGCTGCCGGAACCGAACCCCACAGACCTCACACTCGTAGGGCTTCTCCCCGGTGTGGATCCGGAGGTGTCGTAGGTAGTTGGTGTAGGTCCTGAAGTCCTTACCACACTGCTCACACTTGTGTGGTTTCTCTCCAGAGTGCTGCAGTTTGTGGGACTTGAGTGCCTGAAAGATGAGGAATCTTTTTCCGCACACGTCACAAGCAAACGGCTTTTCTCCTGAATGGATCAGCAGGTGGTATTTATAGGTGGCTTTGTAGAAAAAAGACTTGTTGCATTTGTCGCAGGTGTATTGCATGTCAGCTTTGTGAATGAGCTCGTGTCTCTTCAGTGACCCTGCTGTGTCAAAGCCTTTGTGGCAGATGCTGCAGCTGAACGGAGTGACGTCTACGGTCGTCTTGTCCCGTCGATAGATAACTCTGCGGCTGCCTCGCTCATGAGCTCTTCTTCTGAAGACTTTCTCTTCACTGTGAGCCACTTCCTGATGTTTCTTCAGCTGGCAGTTGTACAGAAAGGTTTTACCACATTGATCGCACATGAACATTTTCTTTGCTCCGTGAAGAAGCATGTGTGCTTTCAGCTTGTTGTCCTGCATGAATCTCTTCCCACAGACTCGACAGCTGAAGGGTTTTTCACCTGTGTGGATGCGGCTGTGTCTCCTGAGGTTTTGCTGCAGGGTGAAACCTGCACCACACGTCTCACACGTGAAGACCTTCCCTCTGTGCACAGCCTGGTGTGTCCGGAATGATCTCCTGCTTGTAAAGGCTTTCCCACACACTGTGCATTTGTAAGGATGCTCGCCGGTGTGGACGCTTTGATGGCACTGCAGGCCAATGGCGTACCTGAAACTCCGCCCACACTCGATGCATTTGTGTGGCTTTTCAGCCAGGTGCACCACCTGATGAGCCTGCAGGTTGTGCTTCGTTTTGAAGGCCTTCCTGCAGGTGGAGCAGCTGAACGCACGAGTGTCCGTGTGCACGAGCTGGTGAGACTTCAGACACATTTTGGTTTTGAACGACTTCTCACAGAGCTGGCACTTGAAGGCGGCGTGTTTCTTCTCTTCGTGTCGCAGCAAATGGTGCTCGAACGTTTCTGCGTTCCTGAACTTCCTGGGGCACTGGTCACAGGCGAACGGCCTTTGTTCTTGGTGGGTGTTCATGTGCTTCATCAGGTGGAACTGACGGTAGAAGTTCTTGCTACAGACCTCACATACGAACACATTCCCTTTACTCTTCTTGACCACAGATTCTCCTTCGTTGTTTCCCGGCTGCACGGCGTCTGTGGCAGCAAAACCTTCTACTGCTTCTAATGAAGAGAACAACAGAGTAAAATCAGAGTTTTATTTACATTCAGTGACAGATTATAAGCTTCAGGTGAGGATGAATTTCTGTGCATTAAATGAATTATGTGTAAAATCTCACTGGGTTCAGTTGATTGAGATGAAAGTTCCTCTGTTGCTTCATCTGAAGGAGAACTCAGACCGTAAAGACCGAGGTGCTCCACATCCTGCTGCTGAGTCAGATCCTGATCTAGTATCACATCAAGGTTGAACGCCTTTCTAACTGATAAATGACCCACGCTTGTAGCGCCTTTGAGAGTCAGACGACTCCAAAGCACTTTACACTACAGCATATGATTCATCCATTCACACGCTGATGGTGATGAGCTACGGTGTAGCCACAGCTGCCCTGGGGCGCACCGACAGACTATGGGTGTGTCCGAATCCACGGGAAGGATGCTTGTAAGAGTGCATTTTGAGGTCGATGACGTCACAGCGCAGCAGCGAGTACTGTCCGAATTCCAAGAATGCTCATTCTCGCGTCCTCAAACCCGTCCTCGCTCCGCCCACATTTCGAGGACGGGTCTGCTGTATCCTCACAGAACGAGGCTATCCCAGCATGCTTTGCGTGCCGGCTGTGGATTTTCAACAGGAAGAGAAAATGGGGAGAGCTACGAAGTTTTAAACGTAAGTTTGTTAAAAACTAGCCGTAGAAACCTAAAAAGCTTAAAGCGGTTCAGTTTATAGACATTTTTCGTTTGTATATTTGTTCTTTAAATTACATTTTAGGCAGAAATCAGCCAGAACGAGTTTGTATCGCGGGTCCCAGTTATTCCTCTGTGTGTGTGTGTGTGTGTGTGGTGAATTAAACATGTCATTTGTTTTAGGGACAACGGAGTGCTTAGAGGTGAAAAGTGACGCTGTCTACATGAGTAAAGTAGTTCTTCTGCTGTGAAAAGCAGTTTTACATTCAGACAGTTGACGTTTTAAAGAACAATTAAAATCGTGTGTGTTACTTTAGCAAATTAAGCTTCTTATCATTTGTTTTAAGGACAACGGAGCAAAGAAGTATTTTTATGAAGCTTAGAGGTGAAGAGTGAAGCTGTTTACACACAACCACAGAAGTTATGTGAAAAGTAGTTTTACATTCGGGGATTTACACAGCTGACACGTGTTAATGAATTAAAAAGTTTGTGTGAAGAATAAAAGTTTTATCTTCTCATGTGGATAAATGTAAAAATGTGTTTATTGCCTTTTTGTCACCTGTGGTCTGATTTTCTCTGTAGGGCTGCAGGTGTCCAGGGTCAGGAGAGGCTTTACCTGGTGGTCCTCCTGGGAGAGAGGCCTTCTACTGTCATCATGTTGATGTTATTTAGCTGTTTGATATTTGAACACGTTTATTAAAACAAATACTAACTGATAACTCTTTCTGGTCATTGGTTTTATCACCAGTTTTATTATTACAGATGTTTTTGAACATGTTACATGAACAGAAAATGAGAAGATGGTAAGGAGACAAGATTATTTATAATAGGTTACACTTATTTACAGATCAAAACCAGTATGGACCAGTTTTGTACGGTTAAAGCAGGATTAACCTGAGTGACTCTTCCTGGATCCTTTATTTAAACTGAGTGAGCAGGAAGTCTTTAACAGTGCAGCTGGATCTGCTGCAGGAGGATCCAGACGTGGATGGAGGGCTGGAGCAGACCCGTGGCTGGACGTTTCTGGTCAGAGGAACATCATACAGGACGGTCTGCAGAGAGAGCTTTGGGACGCTTCCTCTCACTGTCCACTCCATTGTCCATCTACAGGGCCTGCTGGGCTGGCTCAGACGACGGCTGTTACGTCTCTAAGATGCATTCAGAAATATGAGAGGAGATGATTTATGGATCCACTGGTATAACATGTGACTCTTCAGCAAATAAAACCACAGTGTTGTTTTTAATAGAGGTTCCTACATAAATGACTTGCCTGTTAACAGTAGTGGTGGTCTGCTGGTACCTCCTGCAGGACAGAGCACCACTGACCTCCTCCACACACATCTTCCTCACGCTCATCCTCCAGACCCACAGCTTCACCAGCACAGAGGCAGATGTGCAGCACAGTGCATGCTGACCCGTAATAGATTAAAAAAGAGTTTTTTATAGAAAAATGTAAAACAAACCTATAACCTGCAGTACACTGGTTCTGTTCAGTTTAAAGAAAAGCAGCAGGGAAAACTACAGAGAATTTACATTTTTAAGACAGATCTAATCATTATTAGGCTTAAGTTGAATAAACAAATGCACACTGAAAACACTTCAATGCTATTTTATTAAAAAGCCTGATTTTTAAAACGTTTTATCCTCATTTGATGCTAAATAAGTTCTAAGGTCCAATTTACATCAGAAAACATCCTGCTGCATTCAACATTTATAATGCATTTGGTTTATATGAATTACCTACATGATAATACTCTGTAGTAATGTGTTGTGTACGTTTAACAAGTTCATTCTGTAGCTTAAAACATACATGAAACCATCTAAAGTTCACATGTAAGTCCTGAAAGCTTCTAGAATAAACAAAGTTACTTTACCTGAAAACGGTTGTGAACAAACGCTGCTGATGGACGTGAAGCTGCTCTAGCTCCTTAATATTCCTGCTCCAGTTTCGCTAGCTTTAGCATTTTTCCTTTGCGTGTAGCTGCCGCCGCGGCTGTGACGGGACCTACGGGCCACCGTAGAGGTGAAGGCTAGACTGTCCGAATTCAGAGCCGCTGACTTCCGGTTTTAGCGGTCTTCAAGGACCCGGCCTTGCTAGACCGGCGAGGATCCGTACTCATAAGCACCCTTCCCGTGGATTCGGTCACACCCTATAGGCTTGTCAAACATCCGGCCCGCGAGATGGTTGTGTAAACTTTATTTTCATACTTTACAATGTAGAGTGAAAATAAACTTATCTTTGTGAGCAAGTTTTCTCTGTAATGAGTATAAATAAAACAAAGCTGCGCTCAAGGCTCACACAAGAACTTGAATCACATCCTGAAGATGGCCGCCACTCAGGATGTGACTTCTGATGTTGATGTGCTGGTGAAAGCTAAAAGATGTAAAGTAAAATGCGTCAAATATACTTTAAAGAGCAAGTCGCCCCCAAATCAACTTTTTTTTTGCTGATAAACTACATAAATGTGTGTCTAATCGTGCCGCAGACACGTGTCGTCAATAATTTGGTACTTCAGTGCCTCTTAGTTAAAATTTAAATATTCTGCCTAAAACTGGCAGTGTTGTGCCGTTGTCAGGTAAAAACTCTGCACTGCATTTGAATTTATATCTGCCACTGCTATTGGCTAAGAGGTATGCTATGATGTAAACTGGTCCTTATGATGTCACAATGTCGTTGTGAGCCTGTGTGTGTGTGTGTATTGGTTTGCGGCTCCGCCCTCTCGGTCTGCAAGGCAACAGCATTCATGGCATTTTTCAAACATGAAGAGGGAGTTGAGTAAGAATCTGGCAGGGGTTGACTTGCTCTTTAAGTGCTGCATGAAACTGATCTTGCCATGTGATCTGTAAGCTCTGAATCACTAAGGAATGTTTTTTTTATTAATTGATTTTTTTTTTTCAAATTTTCAAGTACACTTCAGGTGTTGTACTTGTACTACACTGTCCTCAGGCTCCAGCCTTGTTTTATATTGATTGTATTAAAACAAAGAAAACAATCTGAAGTTGGTTTTAATTTACCGGTCCGGCCCACTTGGGACTAGATTTCCCTCAATGTGGCCCCTGAGCTAAAACGAGTTTGACACCGCTGGTTTAAAGAATGGAGCCCTCTGCACATCATCCAATCACAAATTAGTGCTTCACAGCCGATGGACACTGAGAATAAAGTCAGAAGGCTGGAGCACTCAGGTGAGCCGAAGTTTATTAGGCGTGTGTCGAATAAACCTCGGCTCACCTGAGGGCTCCAGCCTTCTGATTTTTTAGATAGTCTGCTTTACGTCAGCCAGGCTGCAATGCGGCACGCTGGGCTATGTTCATTCAATGTAGTCCTGTCGTTGTGAGCTGGAGGTGGGCTCAAGACATGAAAAATCTTGTGAGCGCCATCTCAGTAACTTTTAGGAAATCCGCCTAATTCAAAACAAAATCCTCCACATGAATAAATACCTATAATCTCCTGACTTCCAGCAGTTAGTTGTGATCGTCACTCAGAACGTTCTTCATAAACACCGTAAGTTCTTCATTTGTCAGGAGTTACAGATCAGAGATCAGTAAAGATCCACGACCGTCTTCCTACTCTGCGATTCTCAAACTCAAGACTGGCACATCCCACTTTATGACCGTTAATAATTTAGATTTACTCTTAGTGGGTGGATTTTCTCTTCGATATTAACGCACCTTCTTCCTGAGGAGCAGCTGGTGAAGACTCAGCGCCTCCCTCAGAGACGTGACCCGTTTTTATCGTCAGCTTCCCAAAAGGCTTCAGGGTGAAGATAATCCCGCTCTCCTCAAACAGCACCGGGCAGCCCTTCAGGACGTTTTCTCTCCACATTTGAGCATTCTCCAAGCTTTCAGCCACAGTCTTCAGCTCGGCATCCAGCTGTCCTACTCGGGCCTTCAGAGCCGAGTTCTCAGAGAGGAGCAGCAAAGACAGCTGGGAGAAGATGTCGCTGATCTTTCTGGTCACCTCTCGTACCAACATTCCCACTACACTGTTAAAGTCTGGCTGTGAGGATTAAAACAGGGCGGGGACAAACATGTTAATACAACCATTACATCTGATGTTAGTATAAAGAAAATGTAAATAAGCGTTTATTAAGTTTAAGAAATCTGAGCAAATTTCATTACTTTTATGTGTCAGCATAACACTGGCTAGAAGCTTTTATTGGATAATAATTAATAATAATAACACTCAGAATGTTTAGGAACTGGACTGGAAACGGGAGGAATACTGTTCCTTTTGCTGAATAGCACTACAGATCCGAGACGTTCCTCAAACATTAGATACCTGTAAAGAATTTGTACAAAGCTGAAGTTGGTTCCCATTTCTGGTTCCTGGTTAGGAAAGGGCCACAGGGAGCCACAGACTCCTCCCTTTCCGGTCGGCTCATGATTCCCCGGAAGAACGGAATATTGAATGCAGGTCAACGGGGCTAAAAGAGCTACTTTCTAACCCGCTTTGCCTTATGCCCTGGATCACACACACTACTGATGGGTGTTTCAACCACGCCAGTCATGTACTTTGACATTTATCAGCTTGTAAAAGTTCGTAGTTAGCATGACTACACACCAGAAATCACATGTTGCATATATGACGTCACCACATAATCTCCTCCCCCCTAGCGTAGCTGCTACTCACCACATGGCCAGATTTATGGTGGCTCATTCCTCCTGAAGGAAGAATTTGAAGTCCGTTGGACTTACAGCCATTTTTCTGTTTTTCTCCGTGTCTGGTACGATGACGTCACTTTTGTGAAGTGCATTTGTAGTCTAGTGAACCAGACCAATTCTTGCTTTGCAAAGTTCGGTCTAGGAACACTCCACTGGAACCTCTGCATCCCCTAGCAGCATTCTGGCTGGCCAATCACAGCTCTCTATAGGGGTTTCAATCCTATTGAGCGCAGTGATCGGTCCACAATGGTGGGCCAATCACTGCGTTCCATCCGCTTTGTGGACCAATCACAATGCTTTATCTGCTTTGTGGACCAAACAATTCGTCTGGTGGGCGGGATGACTCAAAAGAGTGGAACAAGATGGCGACAGCTTGTTTGAAACAGCTTTTACATCAATATTGGACTATTTGGACTTGGGCCTTATCAGAATCAGGAGCAGATAGATGTGTTTAAGTTCTTTAGAAAAAAGGGAAGTATTTTCGCCTTCTTCAACAGCAGACTGCCTCGTTTACAGACATCCGTTGTGGTTAGTATGTCCCGTTGTTCATTGTCCAGTAGCATACGGAGATCGTTTGAAAGACAACGGTAGAACCCGCCCCACGACTAAGTGTCAATGGAGCGTTATATATTTGGTCTAGCGCATTTGTAGTCTTGACTTGCATTCATTTTTCCGTTCTTCCAGAGACCCATGGTCCGGAAGTAGATGGGCGGGGCTTGAGCTCGCTTTTGTGCACATATTTGGAGAAATGTTTCCTGATTTTAAAACTTTGGCCAGACTTTCCACTCCATGAGCACCTTTAATCTGCTCCTGTTGCACAACTAAAACACCTCAACTCTTCAAACCTGGTCAAGATTATTATAGACTGATATCAGATTACGTAAAGCCTAGTTTGTGAAACTTTTATTTGATTTGCACTTGTACATCTGGACCACACTGGAACTGGTCTAGCTCTAGAACTACAGAACATAGACACTTCAAACCTGGACTGCATTGTTCTACATCATTATCAGATTCCTTAAAACCTAGTTTATGATGAAAAAAGTTTTCCTGATTTGTGAATCTTAAAAAAAAATGATTTCTGCATAATATAAAACTAATTAGAACTGGTCCAACTCTAAAACCAGTGAAGCTAGACTAGACTCGTCCAGGTGCTTTAGTTTATAAGATGCTCAGGAAGCGGAACATTTTGGGTCATAAACGGAAACCAGCAAAGATGGATTTATAATCATTTCATATCAGACTAAGTTTAAATAAATCTGATAACGTTAAACATGAGCTGTTAGTTACTCTGATAAAAACGAATTCAAACGAATTCAATCGCGAAAAGAATGCAGATTTATGACCAGCGGCACCATTTACAACCTAATATTTTCAACAAACAGTGGGTCGCCATGTTTGCTGTGACGCACTGTTACTGCTCGTGGTTTCGTTTCCGTCGGCCCAGTCTCCTTCCAGCACTGTTTCTGACTCGCTCAATGGTTCGGTACCGAAACTAAAACGAGACAAGATGGCTGAACATCTCAACTTGAGCGGCCAACTCACCCCGCGCGTTTTCGCTAGCTTCCTTTCAGAGACGTCTTCCTTCAAACTCCCCAAAACGTCGACAGCAGTTCCTATCATTGTCTCCAAAATGGACTTTACTTCGGAATTAAACACCAAACTGTCCAACATTTTAACATTAAAATTCTAAAGTACAGGCACAATCAGAAGAGGGCGGTTTGTTTATCCCGGAAATGAAGCAACCCAGTGTACCTTCAAAATAAAGGTCTAAATGGTTCTTCAGTGAGGGAGGCCCATATGCCAAACACGCCCCCATGTGCCTGTTGAGCCCCCCTGGCGGTCAGAAAAGGGAAATGTATCAATAATGGCAGCGATATGGGTCGGATCCGGTGTCAGTACAAGATCTGCTCGGGTGCAGGATCGGCTCATGGTCCTTCGACTGCCGATGACATCAAAGTAGTTGATTGGCTGAACATGAAGCTTACGGAAGTGACGTTCTCACGTAATGATTTTGATTGGTCAGAACAAACTTGCGGTTGTAGTCCTGTAGTCCAAAAATCAACACTTTTTGGAGAAAATATGTTTGAATTTCTAAAGGAAATGTAAAATATAAGCAAATGATAAACGGTGACCCTCATAAGCTCTTGATGTTGATGAAATGGGGCAAAATAAAATATAAGAACTTTATTGAAAGACACCAAGCAACATTTAGAGTCAAAGAATGTATTTAGATAACTAAGGAAATATACAGACGAACTCCACATTAATACAAACAGACGTGGCTTCACATATAAGAACTGTTCTGTTGTTTGTCAGTCCGATGTTGGTTTTATGCAGTTTCACATTCTTTACAAAACAAAAATAATATGGTGTTTTATTAACAAATTACAATTATAAAGAAAACATTTAGGTGTTAACAAACAAGAATTAACAAAACTGCTGATGTCTTTCCAAAACCTGTGTGTGAAAGCCGAGTCGATTTGCAGTCATGCAACTTCATCGGCAGTCGAAGGACCCCGAGTCGATGTTGCACCCGAGCCGATCCTGTACCGACACCGGTCCGCAGCAGCCCCCCACAGGCTCCAGCAGAGGAGATTGGGGGTTGATTCATATCATTAAAACCTTTCAATGCGAACAATACAATTGAAAGAATAAGTTTATACAGAAATAGTAACGATGTAATTAAACAGACTACAGGACTCCAGATTTAAATATGAATGTATGGATAATTTTTGTTCCTTGCATACACACTTTATGGCCATCCCCACAGGGATTATAAAACACTGACACCACCAACAAATAATCATTTGCCCACCAATAGGCACAACATCGTCGTCGTCGTCTTCCTCCTCTTATCCGGGTCCGGGTTGCGGGGGCAGCATCCCAACTAGGGAGCTCCAGACCGTCCTCTCCCCGGCCTTGTCCACCAGCTCCTCCGGCAGGACCCCAAGGCGTTCCCGGACCAGATTGGAGATGTAACCTCTCCAACGTGTCCTGGGTCGACCCGGGGGCCTCCTGCCGGCAGGACATGCCCGAAACACCTCCCCGGGGAGGCGTCCAGGAGGCATCCTGACCAGATGCCCAAACCACCTCAACTGGCTCATTTCGATCCAGAGGAGCAGCGGTTCTACTCCGAGTCCCTCCCGAATGTCCGAGCTCCTCACCCTATCTCTAAGGCTGAGCCCAGCCACCCTACGGAGGAAACTCATTTCGGCCGCTTGTATCCGCGATCTCGTTCTTTCGGTCATTACCCAAAGCTCATGACCATAGGTGAGGATTGGGACGTAGATCGACCGGTAAATCGAGAGCCTGGCTTTCTGGCTCAGCTCTCTCTTCACCACGACAGATCGGCTCAGCGTCCGCATCACTGCAGACGCCGAACCAATCCGCCTGTCGATCTCCTGATCCCTCCTACCCTCACTCGTGAGCAAGACCCCGAGATACTTAATCTCCTCCACTTGAGGTAGGACCTCTCCCCCGACCCGGAGTTGGCAAGCCACCCTTTTCCGGTCGATAGGCACAACAAACATCTGCTTATTTAAGTTAGCAGGTGAGTAATGTAAGTGCACATGTTTATTTTAAATGCAATAAAATAAAATATCTGAAAAAGTAATTAGTGGTAATCATTTTAATTAACCCCTTAAGCCCACTAGCCCCCATTTTTGGGCGCACGCCTCCTATAGCAACATTTAACTGTCAACTATTTATTACAGGCACTAACAGTGGGTCTAAGTCAATACGAGTGAGTAGTTACTATTTATGATTTTTTTATTGCTTCTTTACAACGAAAAGCTGCTGATGTGTACTTTTTAGGCACATTTATATGTGTATACACGTATTTCATATATTCAGTTAACAGGAATAATTGCTGGCCCTGTGACACAAAATGTATTGATTTTGAGATTATTAAAATATTTTGAATTAAGTATACGATTCACAAGACTAGTAAACTGATATTGACCATACACTGATCTTTAAAAAATATGCTGTAAACACTAAAGTAGAAAAGTTTTGCTTTAGAAAAAAGTTCAGACACATGAAACAACCAGCAGCAACTTTTATTGGCCTTACAAATACCTTGTAAATAAAAACAACATAAAGCTACAGCCTCTTCAAAAATTCTGATGAGTCCAGAGCTTTTCTGAGTTCCTCTACGTGCATGAGCAGTTTTTGTTTTGCCTCCTTGCTCATGGTTTGACATCAGCTGCCTCTCACTAATGAGACAAAGATAAATAGCAATTAGTAAAAATGACATTCACACCTTGAGGCTGTCATAAACAAGGTGAAAACAATACATATAGGCATTAGCACTGTTCTTGTGTTTGTAGAATACCTCCAGTCGTACTGCAGCCGTACATCTGTGGCTTTGTCCGTCAGCGTTCATGGACAGCTGAAAGAGCATGGATGCCTGAATAACGAGGTGAACAAAAGGACATCTTTCATTTAGACATTAGTCTGTCATGTTGCAGGTAACAAGATATTAATCATGAGTTATATACTGACAACAGTAATACTACAAAATATTTTCATATGATACATAAAAATGTTCAGAATGTACCTCCGGCAGAAGCGCATACATAAAAAACGTCACTCGACTGTGCCACCTGGTTGTCTTGTGTTACTGAGGAGTGTCGTCTTTGAATGTGAGCGTTGAGGTTTTTCTTCAGCAACTCCAAGTGGCAAAAACAACATGTTGTTTTTATGCACTTTGACAGTAATATCTGGGGGGCTGTCACTGGTACTGCTGGAACCCTCTTTTTTGTCACTGCTGTTGCCAGTGATGGACGTGCCGACTCCGTTGGTGGAGGACCCGCCGGCACTGCCGACGCCGTCCGTGGACGCTTCAATGCCGGCACTAGTGGTGGAGCTGCGGTCACTGCAGTCGTACCTGCCGTTAGGCAGGACTTGAAGTGATTCAAGAACCGTTCCTTTCTAATAATAACTTTTTGACAGAAGCTGCAATGATAATGGCTGCTTGGGACACAATGCAGGTGGCATTTGTAGACGTTAAACTCTGAAAGCATGACAGAAAGTAAATATGGAAGATAATGAATGTGTAATTCAAGAAAACACTGTGTAAAAATCTTTTCTATAATATTTATAGAAAAGTAGTTCTAAGAACTTAAAGCTGTTTTCTTCTCAGTGTTGATCGTTCATCTTGCTAGACAGTCTAATGGCTGCACTGTCCAACAGTCGAGTTCTGTCTCTTGTTCATCAGACGCCTCGGCAGTGAGGAGTGTAACTGACGAGCTCAGTGACATATACCAGTCAAAAGTATTATCATGCTTCGTGATAATCTCTAATTATGATTACAATTAGGGACGGGAAACTGAGAACAATTTCAGTTGAAAAAACAACAAGTATCATATGATGATGACCAACAAAGGCAGACCTCTAGTGTGGAGCAGTGCAGCCTCCAAACTGTACATAGGAAGCCTGAAGATTAACAGTGACAACAAAAGAAAGGTTAAGTTTCCCGGCACAGAACACCGACCATATATTTATAACACAACTGACAAAGAATCAGATCAATAAGGGGAATTGATAATGGCATTGGTATTAACAAAACCTTATCAATACCAGTGGTTGGACTTACCTCCATATTTAACTGCAGATTTCTGGTGTCCTTGTAAATGGGGTATCAGGGCATGGTATGGCCCCACCTTGTGGCACAGTGGGCACTGAAAGACGTCCGCTGATTGTTGTATTAATTTGGGCGATGTGCCCTCTTTAAATGTTGTGGTGCTGGTCTATAAGAGAACAAAACATCGTTAAAACTCATACTTTTAAAAATAAATACAAGATTATTAGAGCCAAAATTATATTCCTAACCTATTTCACTTCAAATCTGATGCATATGTGTCTACCAAATCATGGTCAATTTAAGCCTTTGCATTCTTCCCTTAAGTTAAAACACAGGACCCTATTTTCTAATCTTTTTGTGTCTAAATGACAAAACAGGAAAAAATTATGAATGGGACATAAACACAATATCTTGGATCCATGACAGGAGTAGAGCCCTGCACGGGCCTAAAATCTGAGCCCTTGTCCGGCCCGGCCCGAGGGGGTGGAGCCCCAGCCTGACCCGAGCCCGACTTTTTTTTTAACCAACTAAATGAAAACAAAGTGCGTCAATCCTGACCAATGTGTTAAAAGACGTGCAGGATCTGATAAATTTGTTTTTCCCTTGTTTACCATCACGGAGATAACAGCGCACTGGCTCTGGTGTTGATCAAGTTTAATTTGATCTCTGTCCAACAATTTTCACAAGAAAACAGAACAGTTAAAGCAGGGCTTGTGTTGACCGGACAGTTTCCGTATTTGACCGTTTATTTTGACGGAGAAAGAATAGAAAGAATTACCCCGACGCATGCAGACGAACTGACATTTTATTCGTTACGCACATCGCAGATGTAGCTAAAAGATTCCCATCTGAACATCTGAGCTGCTCAGCGCAGCTCGCTGTCAGCGCATATGTGCACAACGAGCTGAAGATGTGGAGATTGGCTTGGCACGCGTCGCAGAACCAGAGCGCATGCGGGAAGCTTCCTCCCACTGAAGCGAGAGGTTTCCAAACCCGGTCTCTCAGAGAGACTTGTCACTTAGAAAATGTTCCCTGATGATGAAACTTTGGCTGAATAGCGCTTGTTCCTGTCTCCAGTGTGGCGACACATCGAGGAGCCGTCTGAGGAGAATCCCAGAATCTCACATCGTCAGCTCAGAATGCGCCTATGATTACGCACAAGCGTGACCCGTCAACCCGGTCTCCCAGTAGACCGGGTTGGACCTGTTCAGGTTTACGCAGACAATCTTTACATTTAGAATTGGCATACAGATGTAAAATTTATGCAGTCAAATATAAAGCATTTTATTTAAATATCCATTCATTATTTTACAAGCACAGAGAGCCGCATCAGGTGGATGGAAGAGCCGCGGGTTGTGACATGTTTTCTCCAGGACCAGAGAGGACGCAAACTCAATACATCTCTTTTATCGTGAGGTAATAATTTCTCCGAGTTTTGCTGTTGCGGGCGGGAGTAGACATGCACACAGCGGGTGCGGGCGGGAGTGTAACACACACGTTGCAGTTGCAGGCAGTAATGGTCAGAAATTCAGCGGGAGCGGGCAGGAGCGGGATGAAGAAAACTGTCCGGCGCAGGGCTCTACTGCTGCGTTTGTGTTTCAATTTTTTAAATGAATTCGATTAAAAATAAAGGCGCCCGGCCCGTGGTAATTACACAGTCGTTGGCCCGAAGCCCGGCCCGAGGGCCTAAGGCTTCAGTGCAGGGCTCTAGACAGGATACCACAGAACAGCGCTACGCCCTCTGCTGTCCTGGCAGGGAATTGCTTCACAACACTACCCAGGAGACGAAGAAGGCTAAACGCTTCCACCAATCCGTGCGTCTCTCCCTCGTGGAGCTGACGCAGAAGCATGAGCCAGGCCTAAATATTAAAATAATTTAACAAGAGGATAATAACGAAAACTTACCTGGTAGTCAGGATCATCATCATCATCATTAGGGGCGGGGTCATTGCCAGATGCAACCGCTGTCTGATTGGTTGCGACATCAAGCCCCTCCTCTTTCACTAAAATGATCTGGGGGCTGTCCTGAGAAGGAACATGGAGACAACTTCAACTGGAATCATGAATCAGCAGAACGCTTCTGTTTCCTTCTTTAAACGCACCAATTCTAGAAGTTTCAGGATTCAAGATCATGTATGGCCGCTGCACAGGCTTACGACACGGACTTTTAAGGGGAGAAAAAAGTGTGTATCTGAATTTGTGTGTGTGTGTGTAACTTCAGTTCTTACACATACAAGCCAAAATTATATTCCTAACCTATTTCACTTCAAATCTGATGCATGTGTCTACCAAATCATGGTCGATTTAAGCTTTTGCATTCTTCCCTTGTTAAGTTAAAACACAGGACCCTATATTCTAATCTTTTTGTGT